CAATATTCCAAGATATGAACTCACTCCCTCACTCCCTCTCTCACCCACCAGCCCTAAACCCACCCACCAACCAAACCCTTCACTCAGTCACCCACACTGTTCAAATTTGTATTCAGCAGCATCCGTAGGTACGTCCCGATTCTTGTTAACGTGATATCTCATGAACTGTTGTACCCAATGTGACAGCCTACATTGGGTGATTACGCAGACACCAGTCTATTTGGGTGACCTTGACCTTATTTTCAAGGTCACCACGACACTGACCACTTTTCAAACTGTTGTTAACGTGATATCTCATGCACTGTTGTACCCAGTGTCTTCAAATTTGGTAACAGCCTACATTGGGGGATTTCACAGACACCAGTTGATTTTGGGTGACCTTGACCTAATCTTCAAGGTCACCACGATACTTTGACCGCTTTTTAAAGGCGATATCTCATAAAACATTGCAACCAATGTTTTCAAGTATGTTAACAGCCTACATTTGGTGATTATGCAGACACCAGTCATTTCAGGCATCTTGTATGTGGCCCAAAAATAAAAGTAGTGAATATAGATATTCCATTCTTTAGCGGCGGGGGACACTTTTTATTTTTAATTTGTTTTTCTTTCCGACCTCCTCAGCTGGCTACGAGATTCCAAAAGGGACGATCGTGCTGGCCAACATCTTCGCTATCCACCATGATCCAAGACACTGGAAGGAACCGGAAGTGTTTAATCCCGAACGTTTCTTGGACGATTCCGGAAGGTTTGCACCGACGTCTGAAAGTTGGATGCCTTTCTCTGTCGGCAAGAGGGCGTGTATGGCGGAAGCGTTGGCCAAACCGGAACTGCATGTTGTCTTGGCCTCGTTCATGAGGTGTTTTGAGATTCGACTGCCGGACGGAGTGACTCCTGACCTTGAACCGGAAGGTGGAAGCATCAACTTCGTGCCTAAGCCCTATCAGGTTGTCGTCAAAAACAGATTTGCATGAGATTGGAAGATGTGACAATCCTGGCGATGTCCACGTGTACTTGGAGGACCAATTATCCACGAAATTGACTGAATTATACCTCTAGTATATGCTCTCAGCTAAACTGGTAGAAAGTAATGCTAGACTCTATTGTTGACTTAAACATTTTTCTTAACATCCTTATGCGTCTGTAAATACATAAAATGTATGCTTTGTCATACCTAGCTATTAGGTTCATCTGTAACATCTAGCCATGTGATTCCATTGTCACTTCTTGCCATGTGGCTCTATCGTCTCCTCTATCCATGTGGTTCTGTGTTCTCCTCCAGCCATGTGGTTCTGTCGTCTCCTCCAGCCATGTGGCTCAATCGTCTCCTCCAGCCATGTGGTTCTGTGTTCTCCTCCAGCCATGTGGCTCTATCGTCTCCTCCCGCCATGTGACTCTATCGTCTCCTCCAGCCATGTGGTTCTGTGTTCTCCTCCAGCCATTTGGCTCTATCGTCTCCTCCAGCCACGTGGCTCTATCATCTCCTCTAGCCACGTGGTTCTGTCATCTCCTCCAGCCATGTGGCTCTATCGTCACCTCCAGCCACGTGGCTCTATCGTCTCCTCTAGCCATCTGGCCTTATCGTCTCCTCCAGCCATGTGGCTCTATCGTCTCCTCTAGCCATCTGGCTCTATCGTCTCCTCCAGCCATGTGGCTCTATCGTTTCCTCTAGCCACGTGGCTCTATCGTCTCCTCTAGCCATCTGGCTCTATCGTCTTCTCCAGCCTTGTGGCTCTATCGTCTCCTCCAGTCATGTGGCTCTATCGTCTCCTCTAGCCATGTGGCTCTATCGTGTCCTCCAGCCATGTGGCTCTATCGTCTCCTCCAGCCATGTGGTCCTATCGTCCCCCCTAGTTATGCGTTCCATCGACACCTGACCGCCTCCGTGGTGTAGTGGTTAGAGCGTCCGCCAAGAGAGCGGAAGGTCGCGGGTTCAATCCCCGACCGCGTCATACCAAAACACGTTAAAATATGGTACGTGTTGGTCCCTGCCTGTCGCTCGGCATTAATGGGTACAACAAGGACTGGTCGGCTCGGAGTCAGTATAATGTGTCTGAGTGGGGTATTCATGCTTCACTGCGGCATGGTATCTCAGTGGGCTAGCACTATAAAACCAGCTTCAGTCTGGGCTAGTACAAGCAGCCACACTTACACATACACACGTCGTCTTATGAGCGAAATATTCTCAAGCACGACGTTAAACCCAATTTCACCTCACCTCACCTCACCTCACCTCACCTCACCTCACCTCCATCGACACCTCAAATGGATGAATCATTGAAGCGGTCCAAAAATCATCTGTTTATTAAATAAATTGTTATCATCAAGACATGACGCCATATGACGTTCAGTGTGACTCTGGAATTTCGTTGCACGGTCGTAATATCATTAACTAACATCTGAACATAGAGAACTTATTTTCTTCATAAACGTGAACAGAAATATACATGATATATACTGAAGGCACTGAAAGGTGTGTCACCTTCATTTACTTGTATGCATGTTTCATCCGTCACCTGGTACTGAATGGTACGTGATTCTGTATGGAAAGCTTGTATACTCGAATGTACTACCATTTAATGCTTGCGAACAGAGCAATCAATGTATCTTTCACTTTGGAATCTCTGTAACTGCTTATATCTTCATCTCTATGTACATTTGACTGTCATATTCTACTATCTTTTCTAAAGATATATTGCAAGCAATAAAAACATGTGTTTTTACCATGTCCGGTGGACTAAGAAAGTGTAAGCTAACGAAAATGTAGGTTTCCATGAAATGAACATGAGCTAGAACATAGTATAAAATAAAATATGTCCAGATATAGATTTAAACCTGTCGCAACTACGATCGTTTATTCATGATATAAATATCCCAGCGTGGATCGTTACTCATGATGTCAGGGACTTGAGGCTTCACACAACCGGTGAAGATCCGGGTTAGAATTGATCTTCAACAATTCCTGCTTGTCGTAAGAGGCGACTAACGGGAACGGGTGGTCACGCTCGCTGACTTGGTTGACACATGTCATCGGTTCCCAATTGCGCAGATCGATGCTCATGCTGTTGATCACTGGCTTGTCTGGTCCAGACTCGGTTATTTAAAGACCGGCGCCATATAGCTGGGATATTGCTGAGTACGACGTTAAACAACAACCAAACCACACCAAATCACATTTCACACAAAGAGAAAGAGAGAGAGAGAAACAATACGTATGAGCGCCTGTTAGTGCCAGTCTGAAAACAATATCACATTGGTAGATGATTCGCTACATTTACGTTGAAATTACTTTCATCCTTGTCGACGATTACAATCATCATCACCATCATCATCACCATTACTTAAATCAATGAATATCATATTGCAATTTACATAGGAAGTACTTTCTACTTACAAATTTGACTTTCAACAAATCTTTACACTTTCGTTTGCAACTCAGAGTATGTTCTCTTCAAGGCAGAGGTGACGATCATGTAGAAGGTGACATTGAGACATCTGTTGGAAAGAGTATACAGTCACTGGACCACTAACATCTACTACAGTAAGGACAAATTGTCTCCCTTGACCATCGTCTTGGTGTCAGTTTATGTTGTCCCAGAGAGTGTGTGAATGAGTATGGTTTTTCGCTTCGCAGCTTTTTGCAATATTCCAGCAATATCACGGTGGGGGCACCAGAAATGGGCTTCATGCATGGTACCCATTTGAGGAATCGCACCCGGGCCTTCGGCGTGACGAGCGAACGCTTTAACCATTGGACTACCCCGCCGCCCTATGTCCATGTAGACGACCTTTTAGACGATCCCAATATCAGCAGAATTTCGTCAGGAATTAGGATTTTCATGTTGCATCCAGAGGATGTTATTAGGAGGTCTCTCATATCTATACAAGATCTCACTTTCGGAGACCTACTGATAAGATTCATTCAGAATTGGATCAACCAGCATAGAGATAAATCTAGAAGACAAGACAGATTCAGGTTGCTGGGAGTTTCACTACTTCCTGGAGATAAGAGTAATAGTATTAGCCATCCAGAACTAATCTTCAGGAATTTCCGCCCTTCTAGTTGCCATGGACAACGCCACAGTAGTTGCCTATATCAACAGACGTGATGGAACCCATTCTCAAGTCAACGAGAGAACTGATCCACTTAGGGATATTGTTACCACGACTAGCGATCCACTTTGGGATATTGTTACCATGACTAGCGATCCACTTTGGGATATTGTTACCATGACTAGCGATCCACTTTGGGATATTGTTACCATGACTAGCGATCCACTTTGGGATATTGTTACCATGACTAGCGATCCTCTTTGGGATATTGTTACCATGACTAGCGATCCTCTTTGGGATATTGTTACCATGACTAGCGATCCACTTTGGGATATTGTTACCATGACTAGCGATCCTCTTTGGGATATTGTTACCATGACTAGCGATCCACTTTGGGATATTGTTACCATGACTAGCGATCCTCTTTGGGATATTGTTACCATGATTAGCGATCCACTTTGGGATATTGTTACCATGACTAGCGATCCACTGTTGGATGTTGATGTTTCTTTTGTCCTTACTGTAATATACCTTATGACAGAAAAGGCTTTTTTCACTTGTTAAGTCTCATAATGAATTAATGATCGCAATATTTCGGGATATTATTTCAATTGCCGTCGAATTAGTCAACAACCACCGCCATATCAGTTAACCTGCGAATAAAATAACTGCTTGCTGTTTATTGGTATGCACGGAACTGGAAAGAGACCCGACGTTTTTCGTAGACATCCACATGAGAAATGTGTTTGTTTGTTTGTTAGTTGTCTAACGCCGCACGTAAATAATTGAGTCTGGACCAGGTAATCCAGTGATCAACATCATGAGCATCGATATACGATGGGATACGATAACATGAAAAGTTAAACTTACCTAAAGACGATGTCTCAGCCGTACCATGTGCGTACAAGCATTGTCCACGTTGGTGTTACATAAGTCAAACAAGTAAGAAAGTGAAAAAAGCTTCTTTATTTACAGACAAAGGTTTAAGTGAACATCTGCACAACGCAAAATAAGGCTGACATTATTCCAGCATGGATTAAACATATTTTTATTTCCAAAGAAATCTGGATCGGTGAAAAAAGCAAAATTTGCTTATGTAAATAGCTCTCCGGGTAATGAGTTGACACGCCTGGTTAGTATACATTGTTCAAGACAGCATGAACAGTTGCACAAATGAAATATATAGTCAAATCTGTTGCTTTTAAGAATAAAGTCGTGAACTGATTGAAAGATATCCATGTTCGTAGAACTGCTGACTGAACTATGGCCATGAGGTATTGTCGTCAGTATGCAAAAGTACAGTCTAAGTGATATAGTCGTATTTGTGGTAGGTCAAGGACAAACGAGTCGTAACCTAAAATTAATTCCACAAGTCCATGTGGGGGGTGGGGTTGATTACTTAGTTACCCACAAAAGGTCCTGCATTCAAAATACTGATTTTATAGAATTTAAAGCCACCTGCTTATGATACAGGCAATTTTTTATTTCCTTTTATGAGTAGTGAACTGGTTTAGAGGCCTGTACGTGCAACCTTTTGAGCTATGTTGATTCAAAAGTAAGATGCTGTAGCCACACACGAGGCAGAGTAAACCTACATCCTTGCTTCAACGGTAATTTCATAGTCATTGGGAATGTTGACAAAGGACCCCCCTCTTTGTTCAAAGTTCAGTTTGGTACCAGGCGGGAGAGAAATTTTGAAATGTCTCATAATTCCAGCCAACAAGAGGTGAAGCTCAGGTTTGGCAACGCTCTCTCCGAGACACACTCTTCTTCCGGCGGAGAACGGAAGCCAACTCTCTGGTTTAGGCGCCATCTTGCCTGTCTGGTCCAGAAACCTTTCCGGTCTGAATACTTCCGGGTCACGCCATTGTTCCGGGTCATGATGAAGGGCGTAGTGGTTAATAAGGACCATGGTTCCTTTAGGGATTTCGTAGTTACCTAAAACGTCATCAGTAAATATATTCGCATAAATCAACGAAACACTGAACAATATAAGTGAGTAGGTGAGTTCGGTTTTACGCTGACAAGCGAACGCTTTAACCACTGGGCTACCCACCGTCCTTTGAACAAAATGATTAAACGGTAACATGATTACATTGGGTTAAGGTCCTTGGTGTTTTCATCGACCATAAGAAAATTGAGAAGGTATTACACGCGTAAATTGAAGTAAGAACACAATCAAATATTTTAACCCATTAACGTCATTCTGACTATGTTCCATCCAAAGCGGGTTTTAGTTTTATCACTCTGGTGACTTATTCTAATTGTGGATTGGATGGGGGTACCCTCAATATGGGGCCAGTGAGAATAAAAGTAATATCCTCTTAAGAGACCTCCGTATTTTGTGTGTAACCAAATATACCCGCACAAACAGTGGATACAGATACATTAAAAGCTGTATGCTTCTCTCGAGGGTAATACGGTCTGATCACACTGCTACAAAGAGGCGTACATCTGACCGTATTACCCGAGGGAGAAACAAACAACGTGTTTATCTTACCGCCATGTTAAATGTACAAAATTTTATTTTATTTTATTTTGAAGATCACTACTGACTACATGACATGTAAACAAAATGGCGTCTGCCTCTCGGCTGGATTTTTAACATTAGTGAAACATATTGTGACAAGCTTAAAACTGCTGTAAAATGGTTAGTTATGTTTAAGTTGAGTGTGCAAACGATTCAATGTATACAATCAGGCGCGTAGCAAGGCGCTTTTTTCGTGTAGGCCCGATAGGTTGCAAAGCTTTATATTTAGATAGTATTGAGGGCTTGCCCAACACTTTTAGCAACAATCATGTGTAAGCCCGGGCTTTTTTACATAATGGTAGCTTCGCCCCTGACAATAGTTTAAATAAAGCAGTGAAAGTCGGTAAAATAAATCTGTACATATTAAACTCAAAAACAGCTGATCGAACGTTTTTCGAAATCCAGGCACTGCATGCGTCATATTATGACGTCATTGTTCTCAGCAATATCACGATTATTAGTGATACAACTTCTCGGCGGAGAGTTTGGCGGTTACCAGTTGTCACCCTCCTGACCAATGAAATTAAAGTGTTTGACATGAAGGTAAGATAAGAGTTCATGTCACTTTTGGCAATATCCCAGCAATTTCACAGCGGTTAACACAGGTTTCACACATTGTATCAATTTGGGGAATCAAACCAGTGTCCTCGGCGAACGCCCCACCAATAAAATAGAGAACAGAAGCATCATAGAAGGTAATAAGTGTTTTGTTCAGGCTCTTCAAACTGATGCTAATCATTCACTCTTAATCTGTCCGGGACGGGGAAAGAACGCACACAAAGCAGCAATATGACATCAGTTAAATTTCATTAACACATGGAAATATTAGTGCTTCCAGTCAATACGCAAATGAAATGTGTCATGACAAAACATCGTATAGACATTGTTGAATTTATCTTACCTCATACATAAGTGTCGTTTTCTGATTGTCTAAGCGCTCTTCTATTATTTTCCATGTATCCCGCTTTTAGGCGAGTAACATTTTCTGTGTTACACGCTGGGAATGCCGAACTGTGGGAATTCATTTGCTACTTCATGTTAGTAATTCTTTATCTTGAATAAATTTAGAAATTACTGATGTTTTGCGAATGCAAATCGATGGAAGGGAGATAATTCTAAATTTGTTTTTCTTGCTAGATTCTATGCCATCTGAAAATCTTGTATTGGCTAATTGCCTAACTCTGGTACTCCTAATTATTTAAGATAGCCGTGCTTCAAACAGTTCAAAATTAACATTGAGGCGTTCGGTAAGATAAATGCGTTGTTCACTTGTCCCCCAAGACCCATGGATTGATGTGTCCTCTACGTTTGTTTATGTTCCCCTCGCCTGGGCTCCGGGAACATTAAAATAGATGGTACCTCAAATGCCCCAACGAGACCACTGAACAACTTATATTAATACGTGGAGATATGAGTGCTTCCAGGTAACAGTGAGTGAGTGAGTTTGGTTTTACGTCGCTTTTAGCAATATTCCAGCAATATCACGGCGGGGGACACCAGAAATGAGCTTCACACAATGTACCCATGTGGGGATTCGAACCCGGGTCTTCAGCGTGACGAGCGAACGCTTTAACCACTAGGCTACCCCACCGCCCCCTTCCAGGTAATAAGCAAATGTAACGTTTTGAGACAAAACATAGTAAACATTGCTGAATATGGCCTTCAGTAGGCAACTGTAACCTACCAATGTGTGTATCACACAAGGTCGTGTGTGGCACGCCAAGCGGAACCACCGTGTTGAGTCTCATACTCTCGTGCAGCACGGCCTCAGTGAAGGGGAGACTACTCCTATCTGAAACCTTGGGAAAGAGTCGAGCACCTGTGGGTGTGATATGAATTACTGAGTGAATATTATTTAACACAGAATCAGCAACTTCTATAGCTTTTCAAGGCGAATAATGAATCAGACAGATAAATTAAACCACGTATTGTGTTTATGAACATCATTTCAAATCGATAAAGGAATATTTGCTGAATATATGATGTAACCTGTGTGGATACGTTGGTTGGATGGTTGGTTGGTTGGTTTGTTGTTTTACACCGCTCTCAGCTAGCTATATGGCGGCGGTCTGTAAAAAGTCGAGTCTGGACCAGAAAATCCAGTGATCAACAGCATGAGCATCGATCTACGCAAATGAGATACGATGACATAAGTCAACCAAATCAGCAAGTCTGACCACCCGATCCTGTTAGTCGCCTTTTACGACAAGCTGAAAACCAATTCTAACCGGCATCTTCCCAGTATTAGTGGGTAAAAATGTTCTGACCGGGTTTTAAATATTTCTGTTATACCAAATTATGCCTGATGTTAAAAAAAGCTACGCAGATTCTAGATATTTGATTTGGTGACAGGTCAGATGCACAAGCAGGTTACACGTCACATTTTGCGTCACTGCATTTATGTCACTGCTTGGCATCTCCTGCCATGGCGTTGGGCAGTCTCGTTACATTCATCACATGATCTACATTACATATTTACAATCTGAGTTAAAAATGGCACTTTCATAATTTCCAGTAAAAGGTCCAGAGCAGCAAACAGAAAGCCTTATGTTTCACTTTTCAGTCCAGCCGACTTCATCCACGCGAATGAAGCATGGCTTCCCTTCTCAACACTCCACATAAACTCCGTGCTTGTCGATCAGAGAGCCTTAACTTGAAAAATAATTATTAGTGTTCTTATAACTCACCTAGGGCCTTGTCTATCTCCTGGTGCACCTTGGCCTGGGTATCTGGGTGCATAGCCAGATACAACAGTGTCCACAGTAGGGTGAAGCGGGACGTATCCATTCCAGCTGTAATGATGAGTGAATGAGTGAGTGAGTGAGTGTTTTGTACAGGAATGCCAGTTTGATGAAGTCCAATACGACATCTCCCCACCAAGGAACAGAATCAGAGCGGGATTCAAACCCACGACTATCTTAACTAACGAACGAATATCTACACTGTGGTGGCACTTTAGAGTGAGTGAGTTTGGTTTTGCGCTGCTTTTAGCAATATTCCAGCAATATCACAGCGGGGGACACCAGAAATGGGCTTCACACATTGTACCCATGTGGGGAATCGAACTCCTGTCTTCGGCGTGACGAGCGAATGCTTAAACCACTAGGCTACCCCACCGCCCCGGCATTGGGGAGAACATTACACCAATGTCTGGATAGAGAGCTTTACTTTGTGTATTATGTCACTATCATCTATAAAATCAAAATAGTCTCCACTACTATCATTACCATATAATTTGAATTGCACTTTAGAAAGTTTGGGCACACTGCCGTCATCAATATTCAAGCCATATGACGACGGTCCGTAAATATACGAGTCTGGACCAGATAATCCAGTGATTATGTATTACATAATCACCGATCAACGCAAATGTGAAAGAACCACATACATAACATGGTTTAACCAAATCAGCGAGCTTGACCAGGCCTTACGACAAGCATGGTAGGTTACAGGAATCGTCACGGGACGGCACCTTAGAAGGCTAGCCATCCGTGCCTTTCATATTTATTACGTGCGTGTGTGAATGCTCATGCTATTGATCACTGGATTGTCTGGTTCAGACTCGATTATTTACAGACTATCGCAATATAGCTTAGTGCGGCGTTAAACAACAAACAAACATTTATCCATTGTGATAATGACAATAGAGGTGTCGATTTGATAAATAATAGTAACACAATATCACAGTAAATATCTCTGTGTTTATGTGTTAACACTTGAGGTGATCAAACATTGTTGTAATGTTCCTGTAACTGCGATTACACATGAAGTAGAATCCATCAATGGATCAATGGCCTGGAACAGTCTCCCACAGAGTCTCAGAGACTGTTATGACTTTCATACCTTTAAATCCAATCTTCAAACACACATGTTCAAGATAGCCTTGAACTGTAGCTCTTTGCCTTGCATTTTTATTTGTGTGGTTTGAGCATGCATAAACATGGATATATGCGCGTTACAAATATACTATTACTATTACTATTCCTTACAAAACTGGCAATACCGTTTCTCCTATGACACGCCTTAGACACTCTATCTGCGAATATGTCTGATCGAATCATCAGGCTCGCTGACTTGGTTGACACACGCCATCGTAGCCCAATTGCGTAGATGGATGCTCATGATGTTGGTCACTGGATTGTTTGGTCCAGGCTCGATTATTTACAGACCGCCGCAATATAGTTGGAATATTGGTAAGTGCAGGGTTAAACAACAAACAAACACAAACCCACAAACAAACCTGCAAATATGTCCCCTAATGTCTGAATAATGTGTCTGTCCGACATCTGTGCCATGAGAGCGGGGTCTTCCTCTTCACGGGCCTCCTCCTGGGCCACCAACAGTGCATCACAAAAGTCACGGATTGTACCTGTGGATGAAACACACACACGGCTACCAAGAAGGATTAAAACATTAACAATAAAATAGTAAGTGAGTTTAGTTTTACGTCGCAAGCTGACTCATCATAATTGAGAAATGATTTCAGAAGTGGTCGACCATGGAATATTATTGCATTTTTGGTGTGTGTGGATGGGAATGGATCTGTTCACAAAATGCAGGAAAACACATGGAGCTTGTCTAGAATGCCAATCAAAGAAGTCATGTAGCTTGTTCACCGCCTGTAGAACCAAAAGATCGTAACTGGACTGAGTATTGTGAAAAAATAACGCGTTGTGGGATAAATAGATGACGATTGTATGCCTTTATCTGGCTATTCAATACAGACTGAGAAATTCCGTGACATTACTGATACAATAGATTTGTATTTAGAAAGAATATGACTGACTGAGTTTGGTTTTACGCCGCTTTTAGCAATATTCCAGCAACATCACGGCGGGGAACACCAGAAATGGGCTTCACACATTGTAACCATGTGGGGATTCGAACCCGGGTCTATGAAGAACCCAAACATTCACCTTGTGATAGCGTTTGCTTGTGTTTCCTTAACCCTTCACGCTGGCAGCCAAAGAAGTCCTCCACGAGTTGTATCATGACTCTCATCTTCTTTGTGGGACAGAGTCGGAGAGGAGGGAAGATATCCTCTAGGAAGCCGTTGCCGACTCCATTCGAAGCAGTGTCCAACACATTTGCCATACGCTTGAAGTACGTGTCGTTGATTTCGCAACTGTAAGGAAGAGTGAGTGAGTGTCTAACACATTTGTCATACCCTTGAAATACGTGTCGTTGATATCGCAACTGTAAGGAAGAGTGAGTGAGTGTCTAACACATTTGCCATACGCTTGAAGTACGTGTCGTTGATTTCGCAACTGTAAGGAAGAGTGAGTGAGTGTCTGACACATTTGTCATACCCTTGAAATACGTGTCGTTGACATCGCAACTTGAAAACAGATCTATTCAATCATGGCTTATAAAATCAGATCTATTCAATCATGGCTTATAAAACTTTTGCAGACACGATGTTAAATTTCAACACTGTTTGGGGTGGTGGGGTACCCTTGTGGTTGAAGTGTTCGATCGTCATGCAGAAGGCCTGGGTTCGATTCCCTGCGCAGATACAAAGTGTGAAGCTCAAATCTGGTGTCCCCCTCCGCGATATTGCTTGAATGTTGCTAAAGGCGACGAAAAAACGATCATCAGTCACACACCTATCAGTTGTATGGGAGTTTATTAAAAAAAATAATTCGGATATCATCACCATTTTGGCCAATACGTACGTCTCATTATAGCAGATATTGTTGATGATGTTGAAAACGATCAGAGATATGATGGCGTGTGGGTTGAATGGCCCTTTCTTCTCCTTCAACAGCTGTATGCCTTTGGAAAGGGACCGTTCTAACGCCAGCTCCAGTCGGTTGCCTGTCATATAGTGCCTACAAGTGCAAAATAGTTATGACACAAGCACTGTATATATTATATGTGCGCTTAAAGCTAATGCCGGTTATCCACTCTCTTCATTCTTCACTAGCATAGTTGAACGAAAATAATGCAGTATTATGAAATTCATGTAATTTAATGAATACAAATAGATTTTAAGAGGGCTTCCAGCTAATGGTCAAATAACACCCTTTTCATGCGTTAATTTCTATCATCCTATAATGTAGTAATTGATGGGGCTGATATTTTTATGTTATTAACAGGGCAAACAGTACAACGATTTGCTTCAAGTATGTCGGCCTTATATTTTGGTAAATCTAGAAGTTTGTGTTCACACGATAATATGCCATGGACGAAAGCAAACTGCACTGATACAACCTATATCATTTATCAACTGACAATGCTTTACCAGTGCATGTCTTGGCAACTTACATCATATTTGTATCTCCGAGTCTCTCTTCTAGTAGTACTAAATATTCAGTTGACATATGTCACAATACACAGAAAGACATAACATATATTATCTTAACTCATACTTATGTTTAGTAAGAATCAACGTCCACGATGACGAAAGCGGACAGAGTTAAACAATTTCAGTGACGGGCCATTTATAGAGTCAGATTGGAATTTTGAAAGCATATTGCTTGAATCACTAAATTTGAGATTTTACAGATGTTGAACATGCAAACATTCGAGATAAACGGGATATGATGGTATTCTTCGTATCAAACGGTTCCTGCATACAAAACGCCATAAGAATACATTTTGGAATGGTTGTGCGATGACCGCCATTCACATTTTCAATATGGCGGTCGGGGTGGCCATGTTTTAAATCGGATTGAATCTGAGAGTAAATGTTGGAGGCACACCTAATTGATGTGACAATAAACACAGAAATGACTCATTATTTTTGTTGTTTACCTCCACAGTCAGCATATTCCAGCTATATGACGGTGGTCTGTATATAATCGAGTCTGGACGATCTGGTGATTGATATCATGAGCCGTGATCTGCGCAAACACGACATGCATCAGCCAACACCGCAAGACCAATCCCTTTAGTCGCCTCTCAGGTATGGGTTGCTTAAGTCTGATTCTAACCCTAATCTACACGAGTATATTCGTTATAAATCCACAGTATTGTGGACAAACCTACTTCAGAGCCTTTGTAGCTAATTTCCTGTGCAGTTTCCACGTAGGGCTGTAGTCTCCCAAGGAGATACTGCGTCCTCCGTCACTGAACAAGTCCGCTGTAACATCCGTAATTAAGTCACTGTAACATTCAGTGTTCCATAAATTAATGGTTATCAAAAATGGAATGAAAGTAGCAATCTGGGGGAACTCATTCTCTCTTTTTCTATGATGATGATAATGATGGTGATGATTAGTGGTTGTCCAATTGATTGAAATAATCGAAGATTGGTCGTAATGACTAAACGACCAAGCAATCGATCACATTTTGTCATAATCGAACACAAACAATTTTGGAACACTTGTTTGCATTGACAATATTTATCACAAGGTTGGTTTTGTTTGTTGCGTTTCACAAGCACTACAAGCTCGTTCCAAGTCATGATTAAAATTTATCTTGAAGACTCCAGGAAATTTATGTTCCTAACATATTAGTCATCCTTTAAAGACATGAAATTTGCCAGAACAACCGAAAGAACTACATGTTTTTTTCTTTATTTTGTGTACATTAACAAACATAACAAGGACAATTTGATAAATAACGCTAACCAACTATTTTCGATGATTGATCGGTTGTAATGAACCAATCATTAATTATAAGATTTTAACCAATTCCCAACACTAGTGATGATACATACAAGAGTACGACTGTGGCCTCCCTGCAAAGTCCGCCTGTCGTTTCACCAAAGCTTCCAAGACAACGTCTATTCTATTGAGTGTAACCGCGCTTACGGGGCCTGTACCGAAAAACCAAAAATGCCGTGTAACAAGATTACACATCAGTTCATGCAGTTTTTCTAGTCTGCCATACAGACCCTGAAACCAATACATCCAATACAGCCCATGAAAGTCGAGAATTACTCGATTACTACAGCTTCAAATGTAGAAACTCTTTCGGTTCCTTTATATTTTATTAATTTAATTTAGGAACCAAATATTTTAGTAAAATATGTTCATTTTAGAGCCTACTTGTTAGTGTAAAGCTTTTCCTGTTTGGATCGTTAGGGTAAAACATGTTTTCTTGCATCTAAGACAAATCGTAAAGGTGTCTACAAAGTTGGATGACGTCCACGTTGCCGTACCCAAATTGAGTGTGATAATGGGTCCGTATTTTGTCTGCCATTCTGTCAGTTTGTCAAAGATGGTGGTCTCCCTGAACTCTGCAACAAGAGTGAAAGTACCATGACGTAGAAAACGCGAACGTAATTCTAACAAGTTGTAAACAAATCTAAACTTGGCAATACACATTGTTATGTCGAACTTTCTTAATGACATGTGGTATTATGGTGTCGACAGACTGACGTGACTGATAGACTACTTTTATTACTTATCTCGAACTTTGTGTAAGTCGAAATATGCACTCTTTGTTCATGTTACTCCGGGTGGAGACATTCGAACGGGATTCGAACATATTATCATACTTTAATTTCTGGCGGTAACACAATAGGCGGGGGAATGCTGTCCCTCTTGTCTAAGCGGAAATGTCTAATCAATCGTAAACTATCCTTTATCAATAGAGTATCAATTCAAATTCTAAAAATAATGGGGTACCTAGGATGTTCCCCAGTAGGGGCCAGCCTCTGGGCCCCGGGGGTAGCTTGTACCTCTTCTTGGTTACCAGATAGACCGCCACCCCCGCGACAGTCCCGACCAGAACGGCCCGGCCCGTGAGGCTTCTTGGTAGCCATTCCTCACACCGCTTGACCAGGTGAAGAAGATGGTCCGAGTAGGGCAGTCTCTGCAGCAACTCCACGTCCAGCATGGTCCACCTGTGGTGAGTGAGTGAGTGAGTGAGCGAGCGAGGTTGGTTTAACACCACTAACTTAATTTATGTCAGAACGCTGTGGATTTGTTTCGTGCGGGTAAAAACCAAGGTAAGACCTAGAATCAAACATGCGAGCTCACGATGCTAAGATCCTGGTATGTGCCAAGGGACGCAACTCTCATGGCGATGTCACGTTATGGGACCATGCTCATTTCGTTGGATGATATATGCTCACGTATCACAGTCATCCGATCCACACTTTTCGAAATGTCTTACGGTAGTGAGTGAGTATGGTTTAACGCCGCTTTTAGCAATATTCCAGCTACATATATTAAAGCGAACGCTATTACCACTACGCTACCCCGCCGCGCCCACTTAAGTAAACATTTCTCTGTGTGTGTTGTGTGCGTGCGTGCGTGCGTGCGTGTGCGTGTGAGAGTGTGAGAGGCGTCTAATGGGTGGTCAGGCTTGCTGGCTTGGTTGACACGTCATCGTAGACCGATACGCATGATGTCAAGCACTGCATAATCTGGTCCTGACTCGATTATTTACTGAGTACGAGCGTTAAAAGTCAAATCAAACAAACGGAATTGAACGAAATGACAATGATGCGTCTAATCTTATGCTTCTCACTCGTACAACATTCTCACGGTTTACTCTTTTTCTCCAGGCACCTTTTATGGATTAACAAACTCCTGCTGTTTCAAAAAAAGGAGCCACATCACAAGCGGCTTGTCTGTGGGTCGATCTGAGCTCCCACCAACGAGTTCAGCCAAAACTGATAACTTCCAACAATTTACTGATTTACAGACAAGATCAAATGTAAGAAGTAAATATGATGTTTATTATAGTAGATCAAATACAATTTATCATCCAAAACTGTGTTCCACAGGAAATATCGCTTGTGTGAGATCATATGATATCTCCTAGGAGATATCGTTTTGACAGTAGATTTGGTACAATGCCCTGACAATGCTATAACTTGATGACGCCACAATGCTATGACATCGCTGCACTGCAAGTCTAATGGTAGTACAGTGTTGAGAGATGTACATTTTTCATTGAAAACTAATGAAGATGATTTTTGATGATAATACAACATATCTGAACTCGTTGATGAAGGTAAATATCCTTGTTTCTATTTATTTTTGATATAACTGATATCAGTAGACACTTTTCTCTTTATATCTGAAGTATGAAATATACCTTTGTGTCTATATGCACTATACGACAGCGTTACCATTCACCTTACCACTGCACTAAACGCATTTAGAAATTACCTGCGCAGTGAGGTCACCATATTTTGACGACCTACCCTGAAACTACCTGGCGTGAAAGATAAGTGTGATTTATATTACAAGTGATTACCGGATTAGCCGGCTTGGTCACAGGTCAACGATTTCGTTTTTGAAAAAAGATATGAGCCAGTTAATAATAACACGCATCAGCTAAACCTGATTTCCTACATCGCCGTAAAAAATTTCCTTTTGCGTTAATGTTGATAGTATTATATATTTAGTTGCCATTATACAAAACGACCATATTGAAGACGAATATATATAGGAAAGGAGACAAGTCTCAAAATGAGTTATGGCTCACGGCTCACTGACCGAGAAACCGGTTTAGTAGATTGGTAATTTTCTTCGATAAGGAAAATATATAATTCGGATTATCTCGCCAGACATATATACAATGAGTTACGTTAGTTTTTGTCGCGAACATCTTATGTAAGTACCCTAGATCGCTGTAAATTAGCAGCGTTTTTTCGCCTGCACACGACAAAGTGCCGGCTCAAGTCTGTCTATTAATAGGCCCTGAAAATCATACAATTTCCCTACTGCCCTGAATTTGAATCAATGCAAAAGTCCCAAATGAAGCAAGTCTAGATTTTCCTCGATCAGGCTCTCAATTAAATCACGGTGGCTCCTTTTCAAAGTAAATGAAGTCATTTGTTTCCATTCAATATCATATTTTCAGAGACTTAGAACCTCTGAAGAGAGTCCGGTTTAAAACTAAGATGGAATTAATGATGTGAAGTACCCGAGTTCTACGTGGAGAAATCGCGGCAATACCTAAGCCAAAGCATAACGCCAAAAGCAAAGGGACTTAAAACGCCTTAAAAGGGGTGCTATGTGAAGCCCATTTCTGGTGTCCCCCGCCGTGATATAGCTGGATTGCTAAAAGCGGCGTAAAACTAAACTCACTCACTCACTCTTAACACTATGTAAAGGGATCATTTTATATAGAGGTCATAAGACCCTGTGAGCCAAAGTATACAGAAGTTCTTTCACGTCGGTGACAACCGAGAAGCCCAGATCTTGCAGTTGTTGCCATGAAAACACACATAGACACACGTCGTTTCTGTGTCGACTGTGTGTGTTCAGAAAAGACCTATCCAGGGACTTCACGTAATCGCTGTCGTATAACATTGAACCATATATGCGTACTGATAGTTGAAAGTTGACATGTACATGTAAATAATTCTGAAATCTCTCTGACTGAGTGTCACCGTCTACATTCACCCGACATCTATACCCCAAATAGCACATAAAGTATGTAATGAACACACTCGATCGATCGATTAGCACAATAATGTTTTGACAAGCAATTGTCCGCCAGTAACAACCCATGCTAGTACATCATATTGCATCTGTTAGCCTGTTTGAAGCAATGAAAGACTTACGTGAACAGAACACTGTATAACAAGTGCACAACAACAGGCGCACTGAATTGCACAACCAGCTCGTTACGTGTGATTGTTTGCTGTGACCTTCACCTTGTTGTGAAAACTGAGGCTCCATATGGGTGTCCGCGGTGTAAGTGAAAATGAATTGTGAAGGTGTCAGGATGAACGGGTCAGTGCATATATGGCGGGTGTAGGTAAGCGCGGACACCCGATGTTGTCATTCACGAATATTTTGCCTTTCACGCCCAAGTTGTCAGCGGATGATCGACACTGTATTATTCTCTTGCGGTAATGTTTTACTTTATTTTTGTATTACACGATGATTGTCCGAGTGTTGCGTTTGTTTGTATGTGACGTATGATTTTGTCCGTGGTCAGAGTTGGGTTCAACGTCAAGCTGAATATTTATGTCTCTAACTCTGTGTGTTTGTTTGTAGGTGGTCATGAGAGTTGGGTCTCAACGTCTCTCTCTCTCTCTCTCTCTCTCTCTCTCTCTCAATGACATCGGTCATTGTATCCCAGATGTGTAGATCGAGGCTCATGCTGTTGATCACTGGATTGTCTGGTCCAGACTCGATTATTTACAGACGCGGCCATATGGCTGGAATATTGCGGCGTTCAACAACAAACGAAAGAAATAACTTACAAATAAAAAAAACAAATAAGCATGTATTATTTTTCTATGTTAGTTTCCCTTTTTTTTGGCGGTTTTATAGCTTTCTGCAGTTAAACCTGGGTTGCCAAGCCAAAAACTTCAGACTACAAGCCGACCAATCTTTGTTTAGTCCCTTTAATCACTGTCGTTCATTGGGTGGTCTGGTTGAGTACATTCATAAACTGATAAAGTACCGTTAAGTGTACAGTTTACAGAAGCATGAAACTCTCGTGCTGAAACGTGTTCATTTCAGAATGACAACCCTCAAAAAACACAAATGATACACAAGATTTTCCATGGTTGTAACTTTCAGATATAGTTGTTTAAAAGCAATCAGTTAATCATATAGACGGATACGGGCAGGCTGGGGTAGGTTGCTCAAAGCTCACAGTTCTAATGAAATTGATGCGGTTCGAATATGAATGTTTGCGTTTGTGCAGTGTTTAGTTCGTGGAGTTCGAGTGTTTGTCTGTGAACTCATACCAGGCATATCGGGATATTAACGAGCTGTGGCGAGCACGAAAACCTCGGTTTCGCCACCTTTTTATTCCCGCGACAGTTCATTAATTAATATCACGATAAAGAACAGCCACTCATCCTCTGTCTATCATGTGTCGGGTGACAGGCACGGCAACAATAAATAGAATATATTAAACGTCATTTCGTATGACGTCGACGTAAACAGGGAATCAAGTCATTGGCACTCTGTTCTCCTGACTAGACCACCAAAGCGAGGACTGACTGAGTTTGGTTTTATGCCCCTTTTAGCAATATTCCAGCAACGTCACGGCGGGGGACACCAGAAATGGGCTCCACACAATGTACCCATGTTGGGATTCGAACCCGGGTCTTCGGCGTGACGAGCCAACGCTTTAGCCACTAGGCTACCCCACCGCCCCCCAAAGCGAGGAGGCATTGCCATATTAAGCAACATTGTTCATGTCCAACACGTGTCTCTTCAATATCAATTACCAGTTTCCTTATCATGCGATTCTGTAAGGAGGGTCCGCCATGTCACATATGAACTATACTCATGCCAATAATGGTTGTCACCCCCTCAATTGTTTAAATTGGAGAGGTGAGGTGTGGGGGTTGGGGTGGGAGGGGGTGACAACCATTATTGGCATGAGTATAATTCTATCTACGGTGAATATACACAAATATTTGCGTAAAAGGAATCACGGCCGAACCGACCAGGACATAATCGTACTCAATCAGCTGAATTTACAAATTGCGTTCACCCGACTTTTAACACAACTTCTCTTAGAACAACTCACCCACAGTGATTTCAGCTCAGTCACGTAATCACAGAACATTCGTATAGTTTATTGACACATATTACAAAACACGTGCATTTGACAAATGCAAACATTCAAACATAGTATTAATCAGTTAATAGCCCATGTGCACAATGAAACACAGCTATAACCTTGACTCTGCTACAATATTGAAGTCCCGTGGTACATTTGCAAAGGATCCCCCATACGGTTCAAAGTTCACTTCGGTTCCAGGCGGGAGGGAAATTTTGAAGTGTCTCATAATTCCAGCCAACAAGAGGTGAAGCTCAGGTTTGGCAACGCTCTCGCCAAGACACACTCTTCTTCCGGCGGAGAACGGAAGCCAACTCTCTGGTTTAGGCGCCATCTTGCCTGTCTGGTCCAGAAACCTTTCCGGTCTGAATACTTCCGGGTCACGCCATTGTTCCGGGTCATGATGCAGAGCGTAATGGTTTATGATGACTATGGTACCTTCAGGAATATCGTAGTCCCCTAAACAGACAAAATACCATTACATGGAAGACTGACTGACTGAGTTTGGTTTTACGCCGCTTTTAGCAATATTCCAGCAACATCACAGCGGGGTACAACAGAAATGGGCTTCACACATTGTACCCATGTGGGCATTCGAACCTGGGTCTTCGGTGTGACAAGCCAACGCTTTAAGCACTAGGCTACCCTACCGCCCCTTACGTGGAAGAACAGTTGCTTATACTCTCAATGGTTATACACCGATATATTGGGGTGGTTAACGATAGTTTGATTAAGAAAGGACAACGTAACGGTACAGCGGTAATGTTCATTCGAGTGAGTTTAGTTTTACGCCGTTATTAAGCAATATTCCAGCAATATCCCGGCAGGGGGACACCAGAAATGGGCTTCACACATTGTACCCATGAGGGGAATCGAATCCGAGGCTTCGGCGTGACGAGCGAACGCTTTAACCACTAGGCTACCCCACCGCTCCTACTGGTCATTCGAGACCGCCTCCGTGGTGTAGTGGTTAGAGCGTCCGCCCGGAGAGCGGGAGGTCCCGGGTTCGATCCCCGACCGCGTCATACCAAAAGACGTTAAAATATGGTACGTTGATCCCTGCCGGGCGCTCGGCATTAATGGGTACAACAAGGACTGGTCGGCTCGGAGTCACTGTAATGTGTCTGAGTGGGGTATTCATGCTTCACTGCGGCATGGTATCTCAGTGGGCTAGCACTGTAAAACCAGCTTCATTCTGGGCTAGTAAAAGCAGCCGCACATACACACGCATGCACGTCGTCATATGAGCGAAATATTCTCAAGCACGACGTAAAACCCAATTTCACCTCACCTCACCTACTGGTCATTCGAGACATCGTTCAGTTCCGCTCAACATATTGATGATATTATTGATGTTGAAATCCGCTTTTAGCTGTATTACAACTATATGATGGTGATCTGAAATGAGTCAACTATGAACCAGAAAATCCACTGATTGACATCACAAGCATCGATCTACTCAGTTGGAATACAATGACTTGCGCCAGCGAGCCTGACCACCAGATCCCGCAATCGCCTCTTTGGAAGCATGGGCTGATGAAGATCTTCACGGGTTTGAGTATGGCATATGCCTTATGATTAAGTAAACTGGTTGTGTCAAATTAAACATTCCAGCTGTGTGATGGCGGTTTGTAAGTAATCGAGTCTGGACCAGACAATACATTGTCGACAACAATCCCCTCCATTAAGGTGCCACGACAGGCAATCAGCCATGTCACCTAGCCTCCCCACCCCATTATTTCGACCACCTTTTAGGAAATTGGTTACTGGGGACCAGTTCTAACCCAGAATCCCTAGAGGGGGTTAACATGTTTTAAGATGGATGCAAAGACGCGAACGTTTTATATATTCACTGTGAGACATCTTACCGACTTTGGTATCACAGAGTGTGGTGTGCGGTTGGCCAAGAGGCGGTACTGTAGAAATTCTCATGCTCTCGTGCAGTACAGCGTCGGTGTAGGGGAGCTCACTCCTGTCGGACACACGGGGAAATCGACGCTCACCTGTAACACGAGTGCAGGTAAATATCATTAATTGTTTACAAATTTGATGTGATCGAAAAATTCTATCTTTAGTTAATAAACTTTGTTTTTAGTTTTAGGAAATATATATCACTGATTGCATTTACGCCACATTCAGTGATATCACTACTACTTCTCGACGGCCTGTCAACCGATTCTGGATCAAACGAACCGCTGACTAAAAGCACGAGTGAGTGAGTTTAGTTTTATGCCACTTTGAGCAAAATCACGGTAGGGGACACCAGAAATGGGCTCCACACATTGTACCCATGTGTGGAATCGAACCCGGGTCTTCGGCGTGATGAGTGAACGCTTTAACCACTAGACTACCTAACCGCTCCCTAAAAGCATGAACACGAATACCACTGGGGCAGCTTGGCACAAAATTATGAAAATCTCAACTGTAGTTCCTAGAGGTGAAGCACGATATGGCCTCGGTGGGTATCATCGCCATGTGATGGTGATTCTCAGACAGATGTACATGATCAAGTCGGAGTCGAACATTCAGCTGCCTTTAACCGAGGTTTTTCATGATCATGGAAATTGTTTTGACTCTTCTCTTTGTAGATATTGTAAGCTCCTCAAACCTAATGACACAACCCGAGTTGTTGACGACTTGAGACACAGTGTAATGTTTAGCAGCGTGGGTCTCAAGTGAGCGAGTGAGTGAATGAGGAATCTCCACAGGGCGGACCCCGTGACATCATAAATATGGACAGTATTGTATTGTGAGTGAGTTGGGTTTTACGCGGCTTTTAGCAATATTCCAGCAATATCGCGTCGGGGGACACAAGAAAGGGGTTTCCCACATTTGTACCCATGTGGGGAATCGAACCCGGGTGACGAGGGAACGCTTTAACCATAAGGCTACCCCACAGCCCGGGTTTCAAGTGTCCGTCACCGTTATTTATCAACGTGTATCGCCGTATATAGAATACTCATTGACAGTTATCATATAAGTGAGTGAATGCGTTTAGTTTTACGCCGCACTCAGCAATATTCCAGCTATATGGCGGTGGTCTGTAAATAATCGATTATCATATAAACCCCCAAAGTTAAGATTAGTACTATAATGGAATCAGTGCTTTTGTTTGGTATGATCACAAAACCATCTCTTTCTACCGGGTACCCATCAACTTACCTAGGGCTTGATCCACCTCCTCGTGCACCTTGTCCTGGATCTCCGGGTGCATGGCCAGGTACAATAGCGTCCACAACAGGGTGTAGCGGGACGTATCCACCCCAGCTGTGGAAATATTTAATGTCAGTATGAAACAATATCCACACGAGTTTTCTTGTATTCAGGGGGCAAACACTTTTACTCCCGATACAAATTTCATATTTATGGTGTCAATATGATTAGTAAGTAAAACATATACAAACGTATGCCATTTACTCCAAGGGACGTCAGCTTCATAGAACAAGGGTACCTTGACTCTTAGATGATAATTGTTTATAGAACCCAACTAGCATGGACTGACACGACCGAGGGTCATAATCGGATTAAACACATTGTCGAATTAAACACACCTCTGTCCAGAAGGAAACAAACCATGACCTGTATCCTGTAATAAAGCAGCGTTACTGGGTGATATTATGTCAACATTAAAATAAATTGCCAATGGCATTATGCAGAGGCCTTTACCTTCCATAATGTCGCCCATTGTCATCGTCACGTGAGAATCTGTTATCTGTGACATCACTTCCGGATCTTCTTCTTCGCGCGCTTCTTCCTGGGCTAATAGCATTGCGTCGCAGAAATCACGAATGTTATCTGTTGAGAAAGCAAACGATCATTTCAACATGGAATCTTTCCCTATGTCCCAGAGAAACAATCAGATTTCAGAAACAAATGAGCATTGGGTAAACATGCGTGATATGTGATCGTGTCACGTACACACAACAGGTGAATGCATGTGCCTCTGTTCGCTAAGTAGAGTGGGGCGGTTGGGTAGGCTAGAGGTTAAAGCGTTTGGTACAATTTGTGAAACCCATTTTTTGGGTGTCCCCCACCGTGATATTCTGGAATGTTGCTTAAAGCTAACCTCACTCACTTACTCGCTAAGGTGCGCGTGGGTACCAGGTAGAAAAGATAATTTTGTGAAAATTACTTCTTCCTGCGCTCAACTGTCAGCTTGGTTGGTGTTTTTCACTAGAAGACCATTAGAGGTCCGGGTTAAAATTGATTTTCAAGAACCAATGCTTGTTTTAAGAGGCGACTAACGGGATCTCGTGGTCAGGCTCGCTGACATGGTTTGACACATGTCATCGTTTCCCAATTTCGTAGATTGATGCTCATGCTGCTGATCACTGGATTGTCTGGTCCAGATTCGATTATTTACAGACCGCCGCCATATAGCTGGAATATTTCTGACCTCTTCACTGAGGACAGAGAAATATGCCATAAAGTTTCAGGGGCTTATTTGGATAGTATAAAGTCTCAGGGGCTTATTTGGATAGCATAAAGTCTCAGGGGCTTATTTGGATAGTATAAAGTCTCAGAGGCTTATTTGGATAGTATAAAGTCTCAGAGGCTTATTTGGATAGTATAAAGTCTCAGGTGCTTATTTGGATAGTATAAAGTCTCAGGTGCTTATTTGGATAGTATAAAGTCTCAGGGGCTTATTTGGATAGTATAAAGTCTCAGGGGCTTATTTGGATAGTATAAAGTCTCAGGGGCTTATTTGGATAGTAGTTCTACAAATGAACTTTGTTCCGCTACAGTTTTGACTTTACGCATACCATTCCCAATTTCATCGTTTCAAGTTTGGGGGCTAAACAAGATGGCAGCCTCCACAACATTCTGTTACCATTCTGGACAATAAAATCCTTGAAACTTTGGACACAGAATGCTTAACACTTTCATAATTGATTTATCTTTAAGTACTTGTGTGAGGTTCTATCCCCAAAAGTACACAGAACGTCTTCTTTTAGTTCGTTTAAGAACCCATTTATAAACAGCTTTTATCAATGAAAAAACAGGGGTGGCTCTAAATAAATGAACTCTCGTAGTTAAAAGTCTCTGAATCGGAGGTTAAAATTTTCGACTCGAGTTGACATACTTAATGTCAAAAGTAACTCGGCTCAAATTCCTATGCATTACTCATTATCCGTTCAAATAGACATCCGACCACCCAACTCACAAACTACGATCAATTAAAATGGAGAATGGTGTATTACCCTACTCCACACAATAAGAGTTCTTCCCGATACCTTTTGAGAAGGTCCGCCGATGTTTCTCGATGTCCCGCCGAAGGTAACCGAAGAACTGATCAGCGAGCTTCACCAGCCGCTTCAGCTGCTGGGTGGGGAAGAGGCGGAGGGGTGGGATGACGTCCTCAAGGACACCGCTGCCGAACTCGTGCAAGAAGGCGTCAAGTCCAGATATCATGTCGTTAAAATACGTGTCGCCAATGTCACATCTGGAAGGGCAAGATGGTGTCTTTAGGTGTCGCATTTAGTTTGGTCGTTAGTTTTGTTACTACAGAAACTGTAGCAAAAGATGTTATATTTGGGATTATATTTTCTCAGTAAAGTGACCCGTGAAGATCCAGGTTAGAATTGATCTTCAGCAACCCATACTTGTCTAAAGAGGTGACTAACGGGATCGGGTGGTCAGGCTCGCTGACTTGGTTGACACGTGTCATCGTTTCTCATTTGGGTTGACCAATGCTCATGCCGTTTATCACTGGATTGTCTGGTCCAGACTGGATTATTTAGCTGGAACATTGGTGAGTGCGGCGTAAAACTAAACTCACTCACTCCCTCACTCAGTAAAGTACCGATTCTAGCACTTTGGTTAGGTTGAGTCCCATCCGGGATTCGAACCCACACTGTCAGAGTGAGGCATCTGAACGCCAGCACACAAAGTCACCCGTCTAAGCCACTCGGCTAGAATCGACACTTGACTGAGAAAGTGTAACCCCAAATATAACATACATATACAATTTAAAGATTTCCTTGCATCATAATAATGTACTTACGTTTCATTAAAACACATATTGTTGATGATGTTGAAGGCAACGAGGGATATAATGTTGTGGGGGTTGAAGGCTCCCCTTGTTGTTTCATCAGGTCGATTCCTTTACTGAGGGATCGCTCCAGACCAGCCTCAAGTCTGCTTCCCGTCATGTAATATCTGAAACAGTTTAGTACTTCAGCGTTAAATGTTCGTATACAACAGGCAAGGTACAATAACACTGTCAAAATTACCGTTTCGTCGAGTAACCAATCAACATAATACTGTCTAAAATATCAGTTGAATACATGTATGATTTTCTTCAAGACAAAATGCCAACTGAAACGTCAAGAAAGGCGCGCTTTATTGTGCCTGTTCGTTTTTTGGCTGTGATTTGTAAATTCTTAACAGATCCATATATTTTCTTAGACCTTTAACTTTTCAATTCTCTTTCACCGCAAATATTGATAGGAAAACAAAGACAATAACATGAGGTGAGGTGAGGTGAAATTGGGTTTTACGTCGTAATTATGAATATTTCGCTCATATGACGTCCATACGTGTGTATGTGTATGTGTGGCTGCTTGCACTAGCCCAGACTTGAGCTGGTTTTATAGTGCTAGCCCACTGAGATACCATGCCACAGTGAAGCATGAATACCCCACTCAGACACATTATACTGACTCCGAGCCGACCAGTTCTTGCTGTACCCATTAATGCCGAGCGCCTGGCAGGGACCAACAAGTACCATATTTTAACGTCTTTTGGTATGACGCGGTCGGGAATCGAACCCGCGACCTTCCGCTCTCCGGGCGTACGCTCTAACCACTACACCACGGAGGCGGTCCACACTAACATGAACAGATATAAGCAGCTCATCATTTCAGATTTGGCATAAACCTCTGAAGCGTAGAGAAAACATATGCTGTATGTTACCTTTGATATTATCTATCTTACACATAGTTTCAATGCAAGAATGCAGACAGAAGAGGACAAAGAAGTAATACGTCATTTGTAGGGCTAAGCAATATAACCGGCTTAGACATGAAAACGATACATATTGCGATACGCTGATCGAAAATCGGTATTTTGACTTGCATTCGGAAAACTTCGTAACACTCGGAAATCTTCGGATATTTCCTTGTTTCATTTGTGCCAAATATTATTCACATTTCTCTTTTATCGTGATTAAAAGTTGTTATTAAAGCTTAATCAAGCATAGTGATTTTGCTGTGTTTTTGCTATATAAATCAAGCATTAACTCGATTTTAAGTAGTTTTTTGTTTAAACATACATCATACAATATATTGCAATTCATATCGCAATACATGCTTTCGCATCGCAATATATCGCAATATGAAAATTCTTTGCAATACCCACCCCTAGTCATTTGAAATGGTTTACTTACCTTAAGGCTTTCGTGGCCAATTTTCTGTGTAGTTTCCACGTGGGACTGTATTGTCCTAACATAATGTTCCTTCCCCCATCGCTTATTAGCAAGGCTGAACACAAAACACGATTCCAAATTATAGTTCGTGGTGAAGTTGTACAGTGTCCATATATCGCGTCATTGTCGTGTGCCTCAAGCGTGAATCACTTTCGTTTTATGACGGGCATGGTGACAAACCAAGGATTATAATCAGAAAGAGTTATGGGTTCGAATCCACTATCATTGGATCCTGGTGCGCAAAGGGACAATAACTAACGACTTGACCATAATGTTGATGAACTTATCAATTGCATCGTTATAGAAATGTACCAATGCAATTACATTTTTGGTCACCTGACCAGGTGAACGAACGTGTATTGCTGGCTTGCTTATTCAGGCCTACCAAAGAAAACTTTCCCACTGTGCTGAAAAACGCAGAAGGCCCACATTAATCGTGGAAATAGTAACATAAACACATTACCTCGCTACTGAAACAGTAATAACGGCAACGAAAAACCATGAAAGTGCAACATTTTTATATCAGTGAACTTTGACCTCTACTGCGCATGCGCATTACGATCCGGGCGTCTTTCCAAATTCTGAGCAGCCGTGAATCGCCTCGCGTAGAAAAAGTATTAAATATGTCGAAATAATTGCTGTCAATCGTTTCATACGAATGAATCGTAAACTAAACAAGTGTGCACACAAGTGATATATGATAAATGCCAAATAACACAACAGAAATACTTAAAAAGGAATGTAACTTTTGTCCAAGCTGGAAAATGTCAACATGTGGTCGAGACTTCCTCTTCCATGTGCGCATGCGCAAAATCGAAGTTGCGGATATTGATGTTATTGTTAACGCCGCACTCAGCAATATTCAGATCAATTCTAAAAAGAGACCGGCATTTAATGGGGAACATTCCTCAGTTATCTCCCTTTAACACTTCGCCAACAGATGGCGCCAATCACTACGGTCCTAAGTGTAGTTGCGTTATGTTAACAATCTTTAAAAATAATTTTAGAATCTTCAAGCTGAAAATATTACTGACACGAGTAGGACTGTGGTCTCCCAGCGAAGTCGGCCTGTCGTTTTACTAGCGCCTCCATTACGACCTCTATACTGTTCAAGGACACCATTCGTTCAGGACCTACAAACACAGGTGCAATATATCAGCTTATCAGTATCTTAAGTAGTATCTAGCAGTATATCACCCCTGGAGCAAGTCTTCGCCATGGCAGGGGTAACAAGCAGTATATTTTATCCAAATATCAACATGATCAAGTGAGTGAGTGACTGAGTGAGTATGGTTTTACGCCGCTTTGAGCAATATTCCAGCAATATCACGGCGGGGAACACCAGAAATGGGCTTCACACATTGTACCCATGTAGGGAATCGAACCCGGGTCTTCGGCGTGATGAGCCAACACTTTAATCACTCGGCTACTGTGTTCCACTATTTAGCGGCGGTCTGTACATAAACGAGTCTGGACCAGACAATCCACGGATCAACAGCATGAGCACCGATCTACCGAACTGGGAGCCTATGACATGTGTCAACCCAGTCAGCGAGCCTGACCGCCTGATCTCATTAGTCGCCTCTTACGACATGAAAACCAATTCTAACCCAGATCGATGGGTCGATATCAATTTGTGATATTCCGATAATATGATAATATAAAACATGATATCATACTCGTATGAAACATGATATCGTTGTGCAAAACATGCCAAACGATTTATTAATATGTATTATGACGAGCCTTATTGTACCAAATTAAAGGTACCATAGTATACTATGAAACATTTTAACATAATTAAGCATCAAGCCATTTATAAGATGTCAACACATACATGTATGTCAAGTTTATTTAGGTAGGCTTTTCGAAATGGTACGGAACAAATTAAAGAAACATTTTCACACGTATCCTGTGCTTGTTATTCACAAATCAATGTTTAGTGAGTTCGACTTACCCATGTGGAACATAATTATTGGCCCATACTTAGTCTTCCAGTCGTTTAGCTTCTCATACATGGTCGTGTTCTGGAAATCTATGATATAAAACATGTGTAAGCACGGATCATTTAGTCAGCACCTTGCTCTTTCAATAAAAATGACATTTTGTTTCAGCCAAACCCTGTTGTGTCGAAGTTGGTGGGACCTACGCAAATACTTCGAGTTATGGACCAGTTCGAAACAAACGAATGTTCGACACAACGGTGTTCGACAGTACATGACAATATACAGTGAAAGTTATAAAGTACGAAATCGATGCAGTGAGAAAGACAAAAATCAACACAAATAGTCCAAGAATTTTAGCTCACCTAACAGGTTCCCCAGTAAAGGCCAGCCACGCGGCCCTGGGGGTAGCTTGTACCTCTTCTTGGTTACCAGATAGACCGCCACCCCGGCGACAGTTCCGACCAGAACGGCCCGGCCCGCGAGGCTTCTTGGTAGCCATTCCTCACACCGCTTGACCAGGTGAAGAAGATGGTCCGAGTAGGGCAGTCTCTGCAGCAACTCCACGTCCAGCATGGTCCACCTGTGGCCAGGCGAAATAATATAACCAGATTTGTCATGTAAGTGGGTGAATGTTGATTTAAGCCGCATCAACAATATTATCAACTAATCCCCGACCCCGACCAACACAGGGGCTACTGGTCGGTGTTCACCAGACTGATTGATTCATTGATTGATTGTTGTATAACGCCGCACTCAGCGATATTCCAGCTATATGGCGGCGGTCTGTAAATAAGCGAGTCTGAACCAGACAATCCAGTGATCAACATCATGAGCATCGATTAATGTCAACCAAGTCAGTGAGCCTGACCACCCGTTCCGGTTAGTCGCTTCTTACGACAAGCATGGGGTGCTGATGATCAATTCTAACCCGGATCTTCACGGGTGTCCACCAGAACACACCTACAGCAAACAAGAATGAATACATGGCAATGGTGTGTGTATATAAGAGTAGGTCATCGTATTTCAACTACAGGTGCAATATTGTTGTGCAATACAGAACTGTCGATATATCAGTTGTAACGAGATAATTGATAGTCACTGATTTGCCAACGGTGGTCCCAGCCTGAAACCTCTTGACACGTGTTATCTGACCCAGTTTAGTCCTTGACCTTGGCATTTACGTCTACCTTTGACGAATTGTAACCCGGACCTCAGCCATATTGTGACTAGAACAAATCCTACAATGATAGAAAACATAAACAGTAAACAGTGACGTATATATGACAGACAGACAGACAGACATTAAAACAAACTATATATATGTATATCCCTAAACAGAATGCCCGAATGATACTGATATAAATATATAAAACCCGTACAAGCACATATGAAATGCATAGCCGGAATTGTCATTGGGCAAAAAAGGTTAAATGGCCACCAAGTTGATGCATGTTCTGTGCATGTTTTGATGCATGTTCTGTGCATGTTTTGATGCATGTTCTGTGCATGTTTTGATGCATGTTCTGTGCATGTTTTGATGCATGTTCTGTGTATGTTTTGATGCATGTTCTGTGCATGTTTTGATGCATGTTCTATGTATGTTTTGATGCATGTTCTGTGTATGTTTTGATGCATGTATTGTGTATGTTTTGATGCATGTTCTGTGGATGTTTTGATGCATGTTCTGTGTGTGTTTAGATGAATGTTCTGTGCATGTTTTGATGCATGTTCTGTGTATGTTTTGATGCATGTTCTGTGCATGTTTTGATGCATGTTCTGTGCACGTTTTGATGCATGTTCTGTGCATGTTTTGATGCATGTTCTGTGGATGTTTTGATGCATGTTCTGTGCATGTTTTGATGCATGTTCTGTGGATGTTTTGATGCATGTTCTATGTATGTTTTGATGCATGTTCTGTGTATGTTTTGATGCATGTTCTGTGCATGTTTTGATGCATGTTCTGTGTATGTTTTGATGCATGTTCTGTGCATGTTTTGATGCATGTTCTGTGCATGTTTTGATGCATGTTCTGTGTATGTTTTGATGCATGTTCTGTGCATGGTTTGATGCATGTTCTGTGCATGTTTTGATGCATGTTCTGTGGATGTTTTGATGCATGTTCTGTGGATGTTTTGATGCATGTATTGTGTATGTTTTGATGCATGTTCTGTGTATGTTTTGATGCATGTTCTGTGTATGTTTTGATGCATGTTCTGTGCATGTTTTGATGCATGTTCTGTGCATGTTTTGATGCATGTTCTGTGTATGTTTTGATGCATGTTCTGTGCATGTTTTGATGCATGTTCTGTGCATGTTTTGATGCAGGTTCAGTGTATGTTCTGATGCATGTTCTGTGCATGTTTTGATGCATGTTCTGTGCATGTTTTGATGCATGTTCTGTGGATGTTTTGATGCATGTTCTATGTATGTTTTGATGCATGTTCTATGCATGTTTTGATGCATGTTCTGTGCATGTTTTGATGCATATTCTGTGCATGTTTTGATGCATGTTCTGTGTATGTTTTGATGCATGTTCTGTGCATGTTTTGATGCATGTTCTGTGCATGTTTTGATGCATGTTCTGTGTATGTTTTGATGCATGTTCTGTGCATGTTTTGATGCATGTTCTGTGCATGTTTTGATGCATGTTCTGTGGATGTTTTGATGCATGTTCTATGTATGTTTTGATGCATGTTCTGTGTATGTTTTGATGCATGTATTGTGTATGTTTTGATGCATGTTCTGTGCATGTTTTGATGCATGTTCTGTGCATGTTTTGATGCATGTTCTGTGCATGTTTTGATGCATGTTCTGTGCATGTTTTGATGCATGTTCTGTGTATGTTTTGATGCATGTTCTGTGCATGTTTTGATGCATGTTCTGTGCATGTTTTGATGCATGTTCTGTGCATGTTTTGATGCATGTTCTGTGCATGTTTTGATGCATGTTCTGTGTATGTTTTGATGCATGTTCTGTGGATGTTTTGATGCATGTTCTGTGTATGTTTTGATGCATGTTCTGTGCATGTTTTGATGCATGTTCTGTGCATGTTTTGATGCATGTTCTGTGCATGTTTTGATGCATGTTCTGTGCATGTTTTGATGCATGTTCTGTGCATGTTTTGATGCATGTTCTGTGCATGTTTTGATGCATGTTCTGTGCATGTTTTGATGCATGTTCTGTGCATGTTTTGATGCATGTTCTGTGCATGTTTTGATGCATGTTCTGTGTGTGTTTTGATGCATGTTCTGTGCATGTTTTGATGCATGTTCTGTGCATGTTCTGTGCATTTTGATGCATGTTCTGTGCATGTTTTGATGCATGTTCTGTGTGTGTTTTGATGCATGTTCTGTGCATGTTTTGATGCATGTTCTGTGCATGTTTTGATGCATGTTCTGTGCATGTTTTGATGCATGTTCTGTGTGCATGTTTTGATGCATGTTCTGTGTGTGTTTTGATGCATGTTCTGTGCATGTTTTGATGCATGTTCTGTGCATGTTTTGATGCATGTTCTGTGCATGTTTTGATGCATATTCTGTGTATGTTTTGATGCATGTTCTGTGCATGTTTTGATGCATGTTCTGTGCATGTTTTGATGCATGTTCTGTGCATGTTTTGATGCATGTTCTGTGGATGTTTTGATGCATGTTCTGTGTATGTTTTGATGCATGTTCTGTGTATGTTTTGATGCATGTTCTGTGCATGTTTTGATGCATGTTCTGTGTATGTTTTGATGCATGTTCTGTGCATGTTTTGATGCATGTTCTGTGCATGTTTTGATGCATGTTCTGTGTATGTTTTGATGCATGTTCTGTGCATGGTTTGATGCATGTTCTGTGCATGTTTTGATGCATGTTCTGTGGATGTTTTGATGCATGTTCTGTGGATGTTTTGATGCATGTATTGTGTATGTTTTGATGCATGTTCTGTGTATGTTTTGATGCATGTATTGTGTATGTTTAGATGAATGTTCTGTGGATGTTTTGATGCATGTTCTGTGCATGTTTTGATGCATGTTCTGTGTATGTTTTGATGCATGTTCTGTGCATGTTTTGATGCATGTTCTGTGCATGTTTTGATGCATGTTCTGTGCATGTTTTGATGCATTTTCTGTGCATGTTTTGATGCATGTTCTGTGCATGTTTTGATGCATGTTCTGTGGATGTTTTGATGCATGTTCTATGTATGTTTTGATGCATGTTCTATGCATGTTTTGATGCATGTTCTGTGCATGTTTTGATGCATGTTCTGTGCATGTTTTGATGCATGTTCTGTGTATGTTTTGATGCATGTTCTGTGCATGTTTTGATGCATGTTCTGTGTATGTTTCACATGCATGTTCTGTGTGTATGTTTTGATGCATGTTCTGTGCATGTTTTGATGCATGTTCTGTGCATGTTTTGATGCATGTTCTGTGTTCTGCGTTTTGATGCATGTTCTGTGTATGTTTTGATGCATGTTCTGTGTATGTTTTGATGCATGTTCTGTGCATGTTTTGATGCATGTTCTGTGCATGTTTTGATGCATGTTCTGTGCATGTTTTGATGCATGTTCTGTGCATGTTTTGATGCATGTTCTGTGCATGTTTTGATGCATGTTCTGTGCATGTTTTGATGCATGTTCTGTGCATGTTTTGATGCATGTTCTGTGTATGTTTTGATGCATGTTCTGTGCATGTTTTGATGCATGTTCTGTGTATGTTTTGATGCATGTTCTGTGCATGTTTTGATGCATGTTCTGTGTATGTTTGATGCATGTTCTGTGTGTGTTTTGATGCATGTTCTGTGCATGTTTGATGCATGTTCTGTGCATGTTTTGATGCATGTTCTGTGCATGTTTTGATGCATGTTCTGTGCATGTTTTGATGCATGTTCTGTGCATGTTTTGATGCATGTTCTGTGCATGTTTTGATGCATGTTCTGTGGATGTTTTGATGCATGTTCTGTGCATGTTTTGATGCATGTTCTGTGTGTGTTTTGATGAATGTTCTGTGCATGTTTTGATGCATGTTCTGTGCATGTTTTGATGCATGTTCTGTGGATGTTTTGATGCATGTTCTGTGTGTGTTTTGATGCATGTTCTGTGCATGTTTTGATGTTCATGTTCTGTGCATGTTTTGATGCATGTTCTGTGCATGTTTTGATGCATGTTCTGTGGATGTTTTGATGCATGTTCTGTGTGTGTTTTGATGCATGTTCTGTGCATGTTTTGATGCATGTTCTGTGCATGTTTTGATGCATGTTCTGTGCATGTTTTGATGCATGTTCTGTGTGTGTTTTGATGCATGTTCTGTGCATGTTTGATGCATGTTCTGTGCATGTTTTGATGCATGTTCTGTGTTTTTGATGCATGTTCTGTGTGTGTTTTGATGAATGTTCTGTGCATGTTTTGATGCATGTTCTGTGGATGTTTTGATGCATGTTCTGTGGATGTTTTGATGCATGTTCTGTGTGTGTTTTGATGCATGTTCTGTGCATGTTTTGATGCATGTTCTGTGCATGTTTTGATGCATGTTCTGTGCATGTTTTGATGCATGTTCTGTGGATGTTTTGATGCATGTTCTGTGTGTGTTTTGATGCATGTTCTGTGCATGTTTTGATGCATGTTCTGTGCATGTTTTGATGCATGTTCTGTGCATGTTTTGATGCATGTTCTGTGCATGTTTTGATGCATGTTCTGTGCATGTTTTGATGCATGTTCTGTGCATGTTTTGATGCATGTTCTGTGCATGTTTTGATGCATGTTCTGTGCATGTTTTGATGCATGTTCTGTGCATGTTTTGATGCATGTTCTGTGTGTGTTTTGATGCATGTTCTGTGCATGTTTTGATGCATGTTCTGTGTATGTTTTGATGCATGTTCTGTGTATGTTTTGATGCATGTTCTGTGCATGTTTTTGATGCATGTTCTGTGTATGTTTTGATGCATGTTCTGTGCATGTTTTGATGCATGTTCTGTGTATGTTTTGATGCATGTTCTGTGCATGTTTTGATGCATGTTCTGTGCATGTTTTGATGCATGTTCTGTGCATGTTTTGATGCATGTTCTGTGCATGTTTTGATGCATGTTCTGTGTGTGTTTTGATGCATGTTCTGTGCATGTTTTGATGCATGTTCTGTGCATGTTTTGATGCATGTTCTGTGCATGTTTTGATGCATGTTCTGTGTACGTTTTGATGCATGTTCTGTATATGTTTTGATGCATGTTTTGAGCGTTTAATGTCAAACATAGAACAGTTTATAATGGGTGTTTTCAGTTATCGAAGCGAAGTCTTTTATGGACTCTGGTGCAACGATACCCCGCAGAACGTGCACGCGAGACATTGGAAACCCTTGTGAACACCCTTTGGGTGCTGCCAGGATACAAGTTACAAATATGTCCAACTCCATCGTAACTTCCATGACAAGAACTGCCGTTCTGATAATTTATTACATGCAATCATTTCCTTGTCAAGAATTAAATGGTACCTCAGTTTATTACTTTAAGGGATCGTTCATAACGTAAGGCTGGGGGGTGGGGGGTGGGCAGTGTGATGGTTCTTATGGAGAAGCATGTACAATGTGAATACTGACCCCCTAAAATATATGTGCAAAGTGACACCCACTCTACCTGCAAGTCATGTATAAAATCAATTACCCCCCTTCCCATACTTTTTTAATATTTGAATGGTCTTAATTGCTGACCCCAGTACATGTGTAAAATATTGATGACCCCCCCCACCCCCGCCCCGCACACACCCAACGAACACCTACCCCTTAATAATCAACATAACCCCTCCTAGCCATTAATTATGAACGGTCCCAAGAATAAGGATGAGATGAGACTGATCATTCTCTGGCGTTGACGTATAATATGTTAAACCTGTACATGACAAGGGTGAGTGAGGTAGTTAATTATTACGCCGCTTTTACATACATTCCAGCAATATCACAGGGTGGACACCAGAAATAGGTTTCACACATTGTACCTACCTGTGATCACTGATCTTCAGTAACCCATGCCATAAGAGGCAACTAACGGGATCGGGTGGTCTGACTCACTGACTTGGTTGACACATGTCATCGCATCCCAATTGCGTAGATTGATGCCCATATTGTTGATCACTGAATTGTCTGGACCAGACTCGATTATTTACAGACCGCCGCCATACAGCTGGAATATTGCTGAGTGCGGCGTAAAATTAAACTCACTCACTTCGGCGTTACGAGCGAACGCTTTAACCACCAGGCTACCCTACTGCCCCTCCACAGCAAATACATCTCCCACATAAATCATCCTGTAACGCATTCGGTGTAAGCACACGGTAGTTGTCTGTCGCGGCAACCAACACATATGTACGGCGGCTCAATGTTGCATACACAGTTCGCTTGCACCAACAGCAGGAAATAGACTGATGTTAGGCCTAAAGACCATTACAAAGCATTGACTCACATCAACGGTTGATCAATATGTTTCTGCACAGTACCTTACTAAGGTGCTCTGTCGGTTCTATCTGCATGAATACCGTGCAATGGATACCGACAACACTGTATCATCTTGACCCACTGCTGGATAGTTGAGGCTCTAGACGGGGAGGAATACCATGCACTATGCTATCTTGACTTGTATAATTTGGTGACTATTCTTTTAATATTATGTTTTGTGGTTTGGGGGCAAATCAAGCTTTTCAATGTCTTGGAGAGTTCCAGGGCATAATCTACATTACCATGCTTCATATATTATATTATTTCATGTGTTACAGGAATCCTGTTATCTAGTAATCACGTCCGATATTTCTTTAGATACAGTTAAAATATATTAACTGAGTTCAAAATAAAATACGCAAGTTACACATTACATTATACAGTTTTGTTTGATTGTTGTTTAACGCCGCACTCAGCAATATATTTCACTTGGAATGAGGGTACAATCTGCTGTTTCTGCGGCTAAATTAGATCTCGAAAATATAGCACAAACTATGCTTTTCTCTCTCCACCATGGCAGTTAGTACGACCCAAGGTGGACCTAACATTAGCTTAACTGAATAAGTCCGATACAAACATATCCAACATATTTACCAGCAGCAATATAATGGATTAATAAACATTTATGACACTTTCAAATATATCTTCACAGATGGTTAGAGCGTCCGCCCGAGGAGCGGAAGGTCGCGGGTTCGATCCCCGACCGCGTCATACCAAAAGACGTTAAAATATGGTACTTGTTGGTCCCTGCCTGGCGCTCGGCATTAATGGCTACAACAAGGACTGGTCTGCTCGGAGTCAGTATAATGTGTCTGAGTGGGGTATTCATGCTTCACTGTGGTTTGGTATCTCAGTGGGCTAGCACTATAAAACCAGCTTAAGTCTGGGCTAGTACAAGCAGCCGCACATACACACGCATGCACGTCGTCATATGAGCGAAATATTCTCAAGCACGACGTAAAACCCAATTTCACCTCACCTCACCTCACCTTCACCGATGGATCTAAGGATGCTGGCACAGCTGAAAGTGCCACTGTCATTGGTACCAAAACAACATTTTCAAAATTACCAATTGACAGCTCCATTCTGACGGTACAAGCTACTGCCATATTAACATCTCTAAAATATAGACATAACAAGTCTAAATATACACAGGTAATCATATTTTCATATTCTCCCTCGTGTATCCAGGCAATTAAAACATGTCATCTAAACATCCAATTGAGATTATATTGTTTAATTCCAATACATCATTTTTAGTTGGTTACCCAGCCATGTTGGAATTTCTGGTAACACGGTGGCCGATGCTGTAGCACTCAACACACCTTTGACACCACTTCCCATCCCCCACACAGACTAAAACCCATTATTAATTAAATATAAAGATCGAATACAAGAGAAGTGGGACACCCAAGTAGGTATCAATGAGCTTCATGAATTTAAAACCGCTGTTGGTTACAACTACTTGTGTTGTCAGTCCAAGTTTGAAGAGGTCATTATGCGAGGATGTCAAGATATCACACAACATCTTAGGTCCACTAAGACCTTGAACATGCTGTAGAAGGAAGCTTAACCACAGTAGCCTCAGAAGGAGAGTAACCATTATCTAACCTTCATGTAAAATACTTTAATTTCATTGGTCAATGACGCTTTAACAAGTTTTCGTGTCACCCCTCCCAGGAGGGCGACAACTGGAAAAAATATTACGCGCTGCCACGGTAACCGCCAAGCTCTCCGCCGAGAAGCTGGGTCGCTAACAATCGCATGACGTCATAATATGACGCATGCCGTGCCCGGAGTTCGATCAGCTGTTTTTGTGTTCACTTGTACAGATTTTTTTTTCCGACTTTCACTGCTTTTTTAAAGCTATTTTATACATTGGGTGGTTTCCACACTCAACTTAAACACAATTAACCCATTTTATAGCGGTTTTAAGCTTGTCAGAATATGTTTCACTGATTTTAAAAATTCAGTCGAGAGGCAGACGCCATTTTGTTTACATGTCATATTATCAATCCGGTCAGCATTGTCCTTTGTCCAAAGGTTCTGGGATGTCAGTAGACCAGGAAGAGCTGGAGCATGTGTGTCCCCTTGTTCCTGCTTTAGTCATCTAAAACAAATAACAATAGGCATACCTATCTTATTGAGAATTGGAGAGAAGCTACCTTAAAATAACTACATGTGATCGTATTGTTAAGTGTTCTTAAACTTTCACATTGTGAAATGCGTTCATAAAATAATTACACAATGGTCTATGTGTGTTTGTCACCTTTGCCGATATATGATATCATTAAAACATATACTTGACATCAAGAACTCAAGAACAGCATTTGTACTGTGTTTAACAAATAAAAGTAAAGTTCATACCTTATTTTTCTTATCATTCATGGTTAGTTTCCACGTCAGCCATGACTGACTGACTGACTGAGTTTTGGTTTTACGCCGCTTTTAGCAATATTCCAGCAACATCACGGCCGGGGACACCAGAAATGGGCTTCACACATTGTACCCATGTGGGGATTCGAACCCGGGTTTTCGGCGTGACGAGCCAACGCTTTAACCACTAGGCTACCCCACCGCCCTCGTCAGCCATGAAGGGTTGGTTGGTTGGTTGTGTAACGCCGCACTCAGCAATATGGCGTCTTCACGGGGCCACCAAGAAGGGTAGGTGTTTGGGTTCACAGCTGCTGGGTTGTGGAGACGTGATAAATCCAAACTCACTCTTTAGCCTGCTGAATTGATTTCAGCATAAGGCCTTGTAAAGAGGATGGGTGATTTCAAACAGTTGATGTGCCATTAAATAAGGGACAACTTAAAATATTATTTGGCACATTAATACTAGATAATAAAATGAACATTATTTTCCAAAAATATCCTGATATTTTCAAACATACAGAGGTTCATGTAACGCATCAAAAGATAGTCATGGCCATTTTCACAACCTTTGCAGCCCGAGATTGAGTGTGTTGATTAATGTCATGCTTAGGGGCGGTGGGGTAGCCCAGTGGTTAAAGCGTGCGCTCGTCACGCCGCAGACACGGGTTCGATTCCCCACATGCGTACAATGTGTGAAGCCCATTTCTGGTGTCCCCAACATGATGTTGCTGGAATATTGCTAAAACTACACTCAATCACTCACTCACTTACTGTCACCTTGCTGTTGGTTGAACCTGCTTAATTTGACATTACTAGGGATAAATATTTCAGTGTGGAAACAGTCAAGGATCCATTTGATACTATCAGTTGTTATTTATTTTAAAACGAAATTGAATTGCTTGTAAAAACAATGATAACTATGTTTTATAAATAATTAGCATAATCGCCAACGGCTGTAGTGATAGTGTAAATCTAGCTAGTGTCCATGAAGGAAGCAAAAGTACCGCAAGTCCCCTTGGTCCCTAGTATAGTGATCTACCTTCAGTTACTGGCGATCTATAGCCTGTTATATATTGTATTGTCTGCAGTGTTAGATTAAACGCTTGTTTTACACCAAACTCTGTGATATTCTAGTTGTTTTGACTGTCCTTCGTCATCAAGTTTGAATATTCGGGTTTATGTCACTATATGGCTGAAGTACTGCCGATAGGACATTCAGTTTATATTCTTCCTGTGTTAAAGATGTTCTGGATTTGAAACTGTGTCTAACTACTACAGCCCACGATCTGCAACACATTCCGATAATTGAACAACATGTATGGGTACACTGTTGATCCATGAATAGGTGAGTGAGTGAGTTTGGTTTTACGCCGCTTTTAGCAATATTCCAGTAATATCACGGCGGGGGACACCAGAAATGAGCTTCACACATTGTACCCATGTGGGGAATCGAACCCGGGTCTTTGGCGTGCCGAGCAAACGCTTTAACCATCAGGCTACCCCATCGCCCCTCCATGAATAGGAAAGTGTTGGAGGTTGCTGAAATATGAAATAAAGTTGGACACATACGTTTAAGTCTGAGAGCAAACACGTTTTGTAACACATCTTATAATTGGGATTACACAATGTCATTTAGAAAGTGGTCAAATATACCACAGGTCATAATCATCTGGGATTACGCTTTTTCAGTAAAGTACAGATTCTAGTACACGTAGCTTTCGGCTCTGGGAGCCGTACCAGTTTACACTTGTCAGAGGGGTACACAAATTCTGTGATATAGACTACCAGTGGTCCGACTTCCATGTTTGCGGTTTAGTGGGTTAGATGGCTGACTTTGTGTGGTGGCGATTAGGTGCCTGACTCCGAGAATGAGAGTTCGATTCCAGGATGGGACCCAACAAAGGTGCCAGAATCGGTACTTTACTGAGAAAGTGTAATCTCAAATATAACCTGTCTTACATTTGACAACTTTCTAAATGACGTTGTGTACTCAAAACAAAATGTGGTCCGAAAGTTTTTACAGAAGATGTGTGCAAACTCAGTGGTAGGTCATCTTTCTATGTAGGTCATCTTTCTATGAATGTCATCTTTCTATGTAGGTCATCAACAACCTACATTTGTCTTCAGTTACGACCTTCTTCCATTCAATATTGTCTTGTTTGCGTGTTGCGAAAGGGCAGTTAAGTACATCAGTGCGCCGTATCCCGAACAGCATATCTTCCTGTTGACCTCCCTTTGTCTCAAAGCTTTTAATCAATATTGTGTAAGCGGCGATATCGTGGGTTAACATCTCCATATTATGCTTTAGTTCCACTAAAGTGGTAAATGTTTACATTATGCTTAACTGTCGGATTTTCGCAAACAGAAATCTGGCCGACGTGGTGTATTCCACTGTAGTCCACCAAAGTCCACCAAGATTATAAATCAGGTTGTTTTTCCCAAAATGTTTACTATGGGTTAGTTTTTCGCTGATCCTTTTAGATATGTTTTATTAATAATTTGCCTTTTAGGCTCCGTGGAATATGTATAGGCAAATATTCATTCTACAGCACGAAAGCAAACTTTTAAAAATCTAGATAAACATCGCCCTTTAAACTTTTCATTGACCTATTTACATAAACCGACTTTAGAACAATATAGTTAGTCAAAATGACGCTGAAAACATACGTACCGGCATACACTAGAACCATTTTTATCCATTGAATTGGCAAAAAAAATCTTCAGAAAGTAGATATCTAACAAAGAGTGTAATCTACCTTCAGAGTGACTTCAGTCATTGTATGAGAAAGATGTTGGTGACTCTGATAATCCTTCTAACGAGTAGCTTATCATCGGCCTATATTGGAACTGGATGGGGAATTAAATCCATAAAGTTGTCGGGCGTTTTAGTTAACACCAATATTTTAACTGAATTTCCAAACGCCCTTAGCGGCTTCCTATGCGTTGCCCTTTGCCTCCAGAACGAGGCTTGTGTGTCTGTATTCTACAGACGACAACAACGACGGTGTCAGCTCCATGATGTGCTGTTCATGTCGCCGCAGGACGGAGAAGAAGAGGCGGATACAATCTACTACAGCGTCAGAACGGGTGAGCATATATGCACATTATGGTATTGTTCGCAGGGTAAACAAAAATACAAAATGTACGTTACCGGTTCCATTGCGTAAGCAATGGCGTTGTGTCCAAATGTGAATTGGTTTATTTCTTGTGAGTGAGTGACAATATTTTATAAAGGTGAGTAGGCGAATGGCATTGTAGGCAGGATAATCCAAAGGTGAATGTTGTACCATTTGTTTTATGAATGAGATTCAATTATTGAAAGGTCTGTTCAACCATGTTCAGTAACGTGCCATAACTGAAGGGACAATTAATTGACATCATGAATTAGTAAGTGTAAATTGTTACATATATATTTGCTCACCAAAGACAAAATATACAACTGACCTACCTACTATTTGGTAATGTAGCCCTTGGACGTGTAACTTTTCAATATCATGCGAACAATGCTCCTGTATAAGTTCATGATGCAGTCAACAGTGTCTCCCGTGAACATCTGGAAGATCTTCAGTAACCCATGCTTGTCAGAAGATCTTCAGTAACCCATGCTTGTCGGAAGATCTTCAGTAACCCATGCTTGTCGAAAGATCTTCAGTAACCCATGCTTGTCGGAAGATCTTCAGTAACCCATGCTTGTCAGAAGATCTTCAGTAACCCATACTTGTCGGAAGATCTTCAGTAACCCATGCTTGTCGGAAGATCTTCAGTAACCCATGCTTGTCGGAAGATCTTCAGTAACCCATGCTTGTCGGAAGATTTTCAGTAACCCATGCTTGTCGGAAGATCTTCAGTAACCCATGCTTGTCGGAAGATCTTCAGTAACCCATGCTTGTCGGAAGATCTTCAGTAACCCATGCTTGTCGGAAGATCTTCAGTAACCCATGCTTGTCGGAAGATCTTCAGTAACCCATGCTTGTCGGAAGATCTTCAGTAACCCATGCTTGTCGGAAGATCTTCAGTAACCCATGCTTGTCGGAAGATCTTCAGTAACCCATGCTTGTCGGAAGATCTTCAGTAACCCATGCTTGTCGGAAGATCTTCAGTAACCCATGCTTGTCGGAAGATCTTCAGTAACCCATGCTTGAAGATCTTCAGTAACCCATGCTTGTCGGAAGATCTTCAGTAACCCATGCTTGTCGGAAGATCTTCAGTAACCCATGCTTGTCGGAAGATCTTCAGTAACCCATGCTTCTCGGAAGATCTTCAGTAACCCATGCTTGTCGGAAGATCTTCAGTAACCCATGCTTGTCGGAAGATCTTCAGTAACCCATGCTTGTCGGAAGATCTTCAGTAACCCATGCTTGTCGGAAGATCTTCAGTAACCCATGCTTGTCGGAAGATCTTCATTTACCCATGCTTGTCGGAAGATCTTCAGTAACCCATGCTTGTCGGAAGATCTTCAGTAACCCATGCTTGTCGAAAGAGGCGACTAACGGGATCGGGTGGTCAGGCTCGCTGACTTACGTGTCCCAGCTGTATAGATTGAACCTAATGCTGTTGATCACTGGATTATCTGGCCCAGACTGCATTATTTACAGACCGCGGCATATAACTTGATTATTGCTGAGTGCGGCGTAAAACTAAACTCACTCGCCTTGCAGTTCTTTGGTAGGTTTGATGTTATGACCACGCATGTTTTCAACTCTCTTTTGATACGAAGCCTAATGTTTCTATATTGACGTTCATATCTGGAGAGTGTGCAGGCTACCTGAAGGACAGAAATTGGTTGTCAAGTTTGTAGTCTATCACAGACCGATGGCTCTCAGTTTTCATCGGCACCATCTGTTGATCACAATAGTTTAAATATGTTTGTACTTTCTGCAAACAATAATCTTTGACACAACGAATCAGCACACCATTGACGCGGTTGCTCAGAATCCTCGGTCTACCAGTTAGCTGCCAAATGTTCCACACTTCCACTCTCACAATAGCAATGAATAACACCATGCACAGTGCTCTCGAGAAGATGACCTATTTCACGGTACGATTTGCCGTTCAAATGCAGGTCTTTAAAAGTTTTCATAGGGCAACAGAACGTTCCTTTTCTGAACGCGTGGCACGCGATCCTTTGTGACGTCTTCCGTTTGTGGGATAAATCTCATAACATAGCATCTCGCGGTTCCAAAGTGAGACGCTAAACCGAACACGTCGTTGCCTTGTCACACCTTCGGCGTCTCATGTGTCCGGCACGATACTGTAGATGGCTTAAGTCCAGCGTTAAACAACAAAATATTACCCAGGCATTTGTTGTAAATATTCATGTGGGATTGTTCATGTGTATCTCAGATGATTGTCCGTCTGGCTACGTCCACAACCGCCTCATCAACATCTGCTACCAGCTTCATCTCAACAAAATCAACTACAACGACGCTCTTGCTGACTGTACGACAAGAGGGGAACACTTTGTTGTTATTGACAGCGAGGACAAGCAGAACCACATGGTCAAGCAGATCAAGTCGTCGTCAGGTTAGCATATTTAAATCACCGCCCAAACCTTACTCTTATTGTGCTGTATAAACTTTCCAAACGTTTTTAATGGACCAAACTAAATTTCCACTTTTTGTGTATTCTTGAAAGACAAACCTTGTGTTTTTAATGGTAGGCAATATTGTGTTGTTCAGTTTTGTTTCACTTTCTACATGCATATTGATGAGCAGTACTGCCTGTGCGTGTGATTGAAAGTGGTACCAACTAAAGATTCTGTGGAGTAAATGAAAGATTCCATGTTTCTATTGAGTAAATGAACGATTCTGTGTTTCTATTGAGTAAATGAACGATTCTGTGTTTCTATGGAGTAAATGAACGATTCTGTGTTTCTATTGAGTAAATGAACGATTCTGTGTTTCTATGGAGTAAATGAAAGATTCTGTGTTTCTATGGAGTTAATGAAAGATTCTGTGTTTCTATGGAGTAAATGAAAGATTCTGTTTCTATGGAGTAAATGAAAGATTCTGTGTTTCTGTGGAGTAAATGAAAGGTTCCGTTGTAAATGAAAGATTCTGCCTTTCTATGGGTGAGTGTGTTTAGTTTTGTTTTACGCCGCACTCAGCAATATTCCAGCTATATGGCGGCCCGTTTCTATGGAGTAAATGAAAGGTTCTGTTTCTAAGGAGTAAATGAAAGATTCTGTTTCTGTGGAGTAAATAAATCAGCTTAAAGAGGATGGCATCTTTTTGAGTGCAGTTTTACCATTTCATGTATCAGGAATTCTAAAATGGGCCAAAATATTTAACATTAAAAACGTACAAAATGTGGAAATGAAATGTTTCAGACAGTCACTTAAATGACATATTCTTATCTTCAAAGAATAAAAGAAAATGGATGTGTGTATGAAAGTGGAAACAAATTTAGAATCTGTGTTCTTATGGTTCCATAACATTAAACATAACAGGAGTTGCACCTTTCTGAGTTAAGTCTTTCCTTTGCGTGTATCAGAAATACTTTAACACTCATGCATACATTTACACACGGATGAGATCATGGTGTATTAAAGTATTCAATAATAGTGAGTCGTTCTTATTTTCAGGCACTAGATATTGCAGTTATATCATCGATGGGTCGGATGTTGCTAAGAAAGGCCAGTGGGTATTTCATGATGGCCGGAATATGACACGCTTCTTCTGGGCTGAGAGCTATCCCAAGAATGGCACAGAAAAGAATCGCATTATCCTTAAGGCAATTGACAACTTTCTTTGGGTAAATAGGAGAGGGACAAACAAATGTTACATCTGTGAAAGGGATGTGTGACATGCACTTGATGTCAATCACTGGATTGTCTGGTCCAGACCTGGTGTATTTACAGACTGACGTCATGTAGCGTCGTTTAACAACAAACACACAAACTGTATTTATGTAAGGAATGCATCCTGATGGGAACAGATACACCATGCTAAACAATATCTCATCAACCAATGTGTGATCGGAACAGCAAGACAACAAATGCTTAGAAAACATTTAAGTAACCAAATAACGTGAAATGTGAAATACACTCAACCTTTCACTTTTTGTTAAAATGTCTTAACTTACGCACTTCTGTGGCTGGGGTTCAACAGATGACTTTTTTCAATATATTTAACGCCGCACTCAGCAATATCCCAGCATATGGCGGCGATCTGTAAATAATCAATCTGGACCAGACAATCCAGTGATCAACAATATGAGCATCGATCTACACAGTTTGGATACAATGACATATGTCATCAAATCAGCAAGTCTGAACACCCGATCCGCCTATTACAACAAGCACGGTTTGCTGAAGACCTAGTTCTAACCCGGATCTTCACGGATCAATATATTTATGAACCTGAACGAACAGATACTCAAATCAGCAAACTTCAAAATAAGTTCAGGAATGTATGTATTTTCCTCCTACCTTGGCACTTTACGACAATACATACTGCAATAGCAATCAAGAAGGCTGTGTATGTACTAAATGTACGTTGTTGTTGATTATGTAACAGTCGTGTTTGTTTTGATCTTTGTGATGTAATGCCATTGTTTAAGTTCAGTGTATGACTATGTAATCGATGATGTATTGCTTCAGGTTGTGTCTGGTGAAACTGACAAAAGTGACTTATAAAAGAGAGCCATACTGGCAAATGCCGGTACAATTTCGTGACATCCAACCAGATTTATTTTAAAATGTATTATTATTGTGCGATCACTAAACTGTGAGACATTATCCACTTGAAATCCTTGCATTGTTGTTGTGTTTTATTGTATGATCCATAAACATGCTGTTGTGTGTCCGACAGTCATAAAACAATGTTAAATCCTTTTCAAGAGTCAAAGATTTGGACACAACCTACTTTGATTTTACCATTTTACTCTTTATCAAAGTTACTGAATTTCATTTTCGTACGTTCAACAAATAACATATGTACACACATGTATATGTTGTGTACCTCTTCAATATCATGAATGAGCTGTACAATGTATGCAACTTGATGCATATAAGATCACACTGATGTTGGGTTGAAGGGTTTATCTTGTAAGAAATGAACCTGTGAATGACAGATGTCATCATACGTGTACGTCTTGTGTATATCTTCTCTGAAAAAGAGACAGATTTCAATACTGTATACGTGGTTTGATAATATGTTTACTACCCATGCAAGAGTTTACAAAATATACTACAGCACTCATGCAATCACACGTCTTACCCTCTCAAACAAAAAGGTTTTACGAAAATAAATCATTTACTTTGACAATCCTTGACTTAGATTTTATTGCAGCACTTCTTCGAGTTTGAAATAACCTATCAATGGTTTTCACTGTAATATTTAACACTAGCTAACTTCTCGCGCATTCCTCATTTAAAAACTAACGAGAGCAAAGAGTCAAAACTATAATCATACTTACAAAATTAAAAAACTACCAAACATGTCCAGTCTGGAATCATTTGAATCCGCCTGGGGTTAATCCACAGACTATGGCGCTTTACATTCCCAGAAAAGATGGACTATTGAGTTCCGGTTTGATTGTGATGTTATTCACGTACAGAGGCCACCGGTCCATTATACAGGTCCAGTGAGTGAGTGAGAAAGTATGGTTTTACGCCGCTTTTAGCAATGTTCCAGCATTAGTAGCCATCACAAATTGCACCCATGTGGGGAATCGAACCCGGGTCTTCAGTGTGACTTATACAGGTCCTGAGCATGATATGGACTGTTTGACAGGAGCGGTGATAGGAAAAGGGCTAAATTATACATTATATGACATTCTGAATAAAATGGGCACACCAAACAAAACTGGAATTCGTCCTCAACTTTTGGGATAAAACACAATGGACATAACCGTTCATGTCTTGGTATTTTGTGATATCTGCCCCAATCTGATAGAAGTATGTGATTTTACAATATTCATTCTATAAATTTTGACATTAGTTGATATAATGCAATTGCAATACTGAAAGTTATCTTTTATGGAGCAGTTCAAGCTTTGAACAACATTTAATTTGCTTTCGTTTTGAACGTAATACTCAATGGCGTTACATCTTTGTTTGATTAGTAAAGGCTTGGATTCAATAAGGTATTGCTTCCAAACCTCTGCAGATCCATAAGAAAACACCAATGGTTTTACATTTAAATCCCAGCAAACACCACCCTTTCTGCTTTTTGGTATTTGAAGATGTATGTTTTTCTCAACATTGTATATATTACATTCTTGTGATATTAATCTTAACCCAAATCTACAGAGATAATTTAACAGATGTTCTTGCCAAAACTACTTATGCGAAGCTATTTTATGCATTTTTATGTAATCCCAAGGAAAGTTTTCCAAATTTCTCATGAATATTTTCAATATCTGGTGTAACATGGAATCCCCAGACTTCAAAACTTTGATTGATTGATTGATAGAGAGGACAACTGAACATGAATATATTTATATCTAACTTGACACTGTTTCAACAGCAATATTCCCAATTTTAAACTTTTCACGATATCTAAGTTTCCCGCCATTTCTGAATACTATGATTTGATTTTATCAATGTTCATTGTTAGCTGCCATTTGTCATAATATGTTCCAACAACAGACCCACCCATTAAGATTATATAAGCCGCGAAGAGCAAAATGAACAATTTCAAGCATGCAATGTTACATCGTGTGATTCACGCTCCAATTTGTCAACAATGTCATTAATTACAAATGCAATATATAATGGGGACAACTGGTAGCCTTGTCATTCACGTGAAAAGCTTTTAAAGAAGCTCGGATGCCCTGCCGTTCAACATCAGCAACGGCTTCAAGCAAGGGTGTGTCTTGGCCCCGGTCCTCTTCAACCTGTTTTTCGCTGCGTACTTTAGCTACCATGCTGTTAGGGACCTGGGCCTTGGACTGTGCCTGCAGCACTCGATGGATCCATGTTTGACCTCCGCCAGCTGAGTGCCAAGACAAAGACTGTGAACAAGCTCATCCTAGAAGCGCTTTTTTGCTGAAGCCTTCCATCTCTTTGCTCTCCCAATAAGTCTCGGCAAGACCGAAGTCCTGTTCCAGCCCTCGCCCGCCTCCACTTCCCACCCTCCCTCCATCTCAATCGAGGGAACTCAGCTGAAGACCGTGGGCGACTTCAAATACCTTGGCAGTACCATAAGCAACGACGGAAGCCTGGACAAAGAGTTCAGTTCCAGGGCCAACTACAAGGCCAACCAAGCACTCGGTCGTCTGTATGCAGGTGTCCTTAACCAGCACACCATCAAGCTGTCCACAAAGCTGAGGATATACAGGGTCGTGGTTCCTACCAGCCTCCTCTACGGGTGTCAGTCATGGACCCTGTACAGACGACACCTCAAGCAACTGGAGCGATTCCATACGTACAGCCTGAGGTCCATTCTGAACATTCGATGGCAGGACCAAGTTACAAATCTCCAAGTCCTTGACTGACCGAGTCCATCAGCATCGAAGCCATGATAATGAAGAACCAGCTCCGATGGGTGGGGCACGTTGCTCGAATAGACGATCACTGGCTACCCAAACAGCTGCTGTTTGGTGAACTGTGTACAGGCAAGCACAACCAGGGTACGCCACGTAAACACTTCAAGAACTGTTTGAAAGCAAACCTTGCACACGCTGGACTCGTTCCAAAGATGCTTGTGAAAGAAGCACTGGACAGACCACACTGGTGCACTCTAACAAGGCAAACCAAGGACAACTTTGAGGAGAAAAGACATCAAGACATCATCGAGAAGAACAAGAAGAAAGCTAGCCTCAACCACAGATCCGACTGCCTCGGGACAGTTCCCCTGCCCTAGTGCCCCAGCATATGCCGCTCGAGGATTGGGCTGCAAAGCCATCTCTTGATCCCACACCAGACAAAGTCAAACCAGAAGGAAATGTCATCGTCGGACCGACGGACAGGGTAAATATAGGCCATAATGAGAACATTCCATAGAGACAGGTTTGTATTAACAGCGTCTTTAGGAAGGAAACGTTCCATTAACACTTGACTTGAATTTCGTGTTTTTGACGTCACGTTTGCGTATTATTTGGCATTAGGTCATCTACAAAAAGATCGTAATTACACAGGTTATAGTTAGAGTTATCACAAATCACAACTGATTTATTTTCCGTATGTTTGTCAGCCACCGGTTGCCATCGCCATTCCGACCTGCAATGTTTGCAATACTGAGTGAGTGAGTTCGGATTTACGCCGCTTTTAGCAATGTTCAAGCAATATCACGGCGGGGGACACCAGAAATGGGCTTCACACATTGTACCCATGTGGGGAATTGAACCCGGGCCTTCGGCGTGACGAGCGAACGCTTTAACCACTAGGCTACCCGACCGGCCCTTGCAATACTGACTTGCTTCACTTTGCTGTCAACTCCAGGTTCCATCTACCTATAATTACAGAGATCTTCTTGAACCGATCCTATGTATTAAGTTGCATGGTGTAATTAGGATTCAGCCTCCTTCTGATTTGCATCATTTATTTGTTTAACAGCCCAGGTACATCAACCATGGGGGGTATACATACAAGTAAAGGGTTTCACCGCCATGTAGCTGGAATATTGCTGAGTGTGGCCCTATACAACAAACAAAACCGGATTTTAAAGCTTCCTTCTTGCAGACAATGAGACTGAGAGCCGGTGTCGTGTCTCTTATTATCCAGATCTTGTACATCATTTTTCAGATAAATATTAACTCGTTCTTGACGTTCATCTACTTGTATGATCCTTCTGTATTTCGCTAGTTTTGAGATTCATAATGTGTTAGGTCCTTGTGTTTTAATTGCACTTACCTCGTTGTCACAATGTGTTATATTGAATGTTTCCACTAGTAATCATCGACCAGTTTTAGCCCTTACAATTT